TGGTGCGGTCCGGTGTGACCAGGCACCCGGGTCTCAGTGCACGCGTGCGTCCGTGCTTCCCCGTGCGTCCGTGCGTCTGTGTGTGCATCCGTGCGTCTGTGTGTGCATCCGTGCGTCTGTGTGTGCATCCGTGCATCCGTGCGTCCGCTCGCCCTGCTGCTCGCGACGTCGCTCTCTCCACGGCTTTGGCCCGCGGGAGCTTGCGCGCACGTGACACTTGATATTATCACCGCCTGCCACGGCTGACAGTAATTGATAACTTCTGACTGACCTGCGCCCCCGACAATCCTCAAAACTGGTTACGTGACATACGCCCGCGCGCGCTCCACCGGCTCGCTGGCGGGTGACCGCCGAGGACATTTAAACTCCGGCGCTCGCTGGCGGCGTCATGCAAGGGGGGAATTAAAAGACTCGGACGGAGCGGGAGAATGCCACTTAATCGGAAACGTGATAATTTGACGGAGATTAATCACAAGTTGGGTGGACAGGTGGAGAAGTTGGGCTCGCATTGATTTTTTTTGAGCCGTTAACGTCGTTCTGCCCCGCTGGGGGAGTGAGCTCCGTGTGGGCGCTGGAGAGAATCCAATCGGGATCCGCTCCACGCTGATTGGATGAATCGCCACGTTGTTTGCGGGGTTCAGGATCACATTCACGATTCGATTTATTTATTTAGTTAACCCTGAATCTATAACGACCGCAGGGGCTCTATCAGCCAGTCACATCAATCGTCAGCATCAGCATCAGCAGCAACAGCCATGGTCGCTCCACTGCTGGATTAAGGCCTCCCCATGCTGTTGCAAATTCCGCACGGTTCTGCACAACAGCACTGTAAATCTCATTCCTGCCACGCGAGTTGACCTCATCGCTCCATCTCTGCGATGGTTGTCCTCTCGAGCATGGGGTCGGGGGCTGGCCGCGGGCGGGGCGGGGTGTGTGGGGGTGGGCGATTGCACCACCGGGTTGGGAAGGATGGTGGCTGTGCCGGCCTGATCCTATTAAGGTCGCTGTAAACTAATATAAACGAGCTGTAATCGGATAACGTGTGATTTACCGGCGCACATCCTTCACAGGCCCCAGGGTTAACGCTTCGCTGATAAGGCGCAGCTGTATTTACACAGAGGCCATTATTGGGTGACACAAGGCAGGGGCAGGCGTGCCGGTCGCGTTTGGTAGGGCCGCCACCATCGCTTCAGCCGGGCTGTCTCAAAAACACTTCCCACACCGCGCCATCCCTCACCGAGCACCATCCGGGTCGCTGGTCGACCGGAGTTTGCCGCACGTGACCAGTAGCAGCCACAGGCAGAGAGATCGGTATGCTGGATGTGGTGTGTCGAGTGCGTAAAAATGGTCACTGACCCAAAAAGACCCGGCTGAAATTAAGCTACGTGTAAATCTATGGATCTCTGCAATTCTACAAAAATCCACGCAAACCGCATTAATCTATGTGGGAGTTTGTGGGTCTCTATGTGAGTCTGTGGGTCGAAATGAACCTCATGGCGGTACCCCGGGGTACAATAGTACCCCGGCTCTCTCACAATGTCCGTGATGCAGTCACTTTTAGTCTGTTGATGGTCGGCGATGCGGCAATCGACTAATTTCGACGAGCTGTACACGATGTACCACTACGGTGCGTACCGCGAGCGTTCAGGGTTTCGGCGCAATCGTCCTCGCTGCGTTTAGACATCGCGGAGTGTGGCTCCAATGTCGGATTCATTGGTACCCCAGTCGCGGAGTGAAGTACAACCCTGGGAAAAAATAGTGTCCCAGAAATAACATATTTAATTGCTTCGGCCATTTGGTGTTATTTGGTACCCCGGGGTACCGCCATAAGGATCACGTGTAAATCCAGGGCTTACTTCCTCACAGAAATGTCTCCGGGTCGACGGTCGATTGCAGTATGTCGCACGTGACTCATAGCCTCGGCTGTGAGCGATGCTGGATGTGGTCCGCTGGCTGCAGAAATATTTGTTTTCTTGGAGATGAAGGCGGCCGAGGTCGGCTGTAATTGGTCGGTTGGCGGCACGGTCCCCGATTCTCATGAACGCTTCTGCTCGGTGGATGCTCCTCGCGGAACGTTGCCGATTTCGGGCGATATCTTCGTCAACGGCAATTGGGCAAATTGCCAAGACGATGAGATGCGTCTCGGCTGTTTCGTCGCGATGGGAATCTGCCCGCGGTGATATCTCGCGGCATTTAAGCCTGAAATGTCGCCCGGGCTGGGCCGCGCATCCTCCACCGCGCGCGCCCCGGATCGACAGAGCGGCTCTTTTTGCTCTCAACGTTTTCAGCCATTCTCTATCCACCGCTGGATGGAGGTGGTGCTGTTTTGGTGGAATTTACGTCTCGTGCGTGCTGTTTCATGACAATTTGTTGATGTGCAAGGGGAATATGGCCCTCTTCCAATAACACAATGTAAAATTATAATAATTTACAGCCCTGGGTTTTTGATGCTAGGTGAAGGTCACGGAGGTTTTGTGACCATACTTCACTACATGGGTCAGTGCAGGTTGGGGAAAGGGAAGGTATCCCAGAACCAAGTCGGATATCACTCGTCAAAGATGTTAGTCATCACTGGGAATCGGATCGCTCGGTTCACAGTACAGCCGTGCCAACCACTGCACTACCACTCCCGCACAGTTCAATCTTTGGAAATGTCGTGAGATACCCATAAAGCATCATGATTCATATTCATTCCTTCCTCGGCTCAATAAAGTGAGTACCACTGTCGGAAATCAACATCGATGGTCCTGTACACCGCAGTGCCTTGTGGATGTACACGGCGGTGTCTCGAGACACGGGAGAGAAGGGGTTGGCCATACGCAGAGAAGAGGAGGGAGGCCTCGAGCCCCCAGTTGGAAGAGGGGCAGGGAGCCGACATCACGGGTGGCTGAGTTCCAGGCCACGGGTGCAGCAGAGGAGAATGGGCGACCTGCCGCTGTGAGCGAACGTCGATGGGGGCTCGGGCCTCGTGACTCACGAGGCAGAGGGGCGACACCCGTGCCGCGACTCGCAATCTTAAAGGGTCGAGTTCAACTCCTGCCCGTGGCTGCGCTGGACACATCATCTTTTTTTTGTCGTGGGAAGCCGCCGGTGCTTGTCCTATGGTGTTGACTGGTCCTGGACGTAGGAATGTGGAATTTCCACCGCTGACTAGAGACCACCACCAGCGACGGCGGCCCTCACCGCCCCGTGCTCGTTCGAGCGAAGAGAGGGTTATGAATGGCCGCGGGGCACGGGCGCTGGAACTCTCCGGCTCCGCAGGTTTCGTCCGCACTTTTGAGCCGCCCGACCACCGACACCCGATATCCAACTGACGTCAGCCTCCAAACGTGTATCCGAGATGTGTCAGAAGACAATAACGCTCTCCGCTTCTTCCTCCTCCTCCTCGTCTTCTTCGTCATCATGGTCGCGTGCGCTGCATTTTTAAGGAAGTAGAACAGAAACAGCCAGCCTTGAAAATAAATCGATGGGAGATCAGTGTGGAGGGAAGATTTGCACGGAAGATAGCGCTGCCACTTTGTGTGTGCGTGTGGAGGAGTGTGTGCGTACGTGTGTGTGTGTGGAGTGCGTGCGTACGTGTGGAGGAGTGTGTGCGTGTGTGGAGGAGTGTGTGTGTGTGTTTGGAGTGTGTTGCGTGTGTGTGGGAAGGAGTGCGTATGGAGGAGTGTGCGTGGGTGGAGGAGTGTGTGTGTGTGTGTGTTTGGAGTGTGTTGCGTGTGTGTGTTGCGTGTGTGTGGGAAGGAGTGCGTATGGAGGAGTGTGTGCGTGGGTGTATGTGTTTCGGCTACATGGAGATCTTTGTCTTTGCGCACGTGGTCGTCTCAGCCTCAGTGACTACCAAATGCGGTGTGTAAACATCGCCTCGGGTGTGGTGCTGGTCACGCCTCATGTGCCGTGACGGCGGCCTTCATAGGTGACCTCTTACTGTACGAGGGATCTTGGTGTCCTGTGGAGTGGTTAGTGCCCTACGAAATTAACCAGTTGTGGGCCTCTCCTAGGTCGAATCAGCCTTAAATGTTAACCTGGAGCCGTGTGTAAACATGAGGACAAGGCTATACGGGGGACCTTTGTATAAAGTATACCGCTCTCACACCCAGGTGCTCACTCGCACATACAATACATTACAAAGATCCACCGTACAATCTTTTGGGGCATGAGTGCTGTTAGCGAGCACCTATTAAGACCGGCGCGGAGCACAAAGGTGGTGAGTGGCCAGCACCACGCCCTTTGTCTCCTTTAGTGGCGATTTTTACACATCGCACCAGGTAATAATTTGAGGCTGAGTCGACCTGGGGGAGGCCCAGGACCGGCTTATCAGAATGCTTTCGATTTGAGTGGCTACGATGAGGCTGGGTGAGCAGAGCGCGGATGATAGGATGGGTACATTGAGGTGGACATTCTCCGCTAATGGTCCCTTGGTATATCGCGATGAGGCTATGCATATGTGTGTGAGTGTTTATAAGTGTGTGGGTGCACGTGTGTGTGCGTCAAGAGGTACAAACCTGACGACCCGGTGTCGATTCCTGCTCACAGCCAACTTCGGTCACGAATATCTGAACCGGTACAGGGTCTCCCCTAGATCGACTCGGCATTAAATGAGTATCTAGTGCGGTGTGTGTACGTGTCACACATCAGCACCCCCTCGTGTGCCATGCCGGCCTTCCAAGGTGCTACTCGCGAACAGCACTTGCCCGAATAGGTCGTTGGAGCCTTTGTCAATAGGTGTGTGTGTTACGTTGATGTGTTTGTGTTTGTAAATGTGCACAAACGCACGGGGAGCGGTGGCCCCGCGATGAGCTGCACCGCACTATGTCAGTGGGGATACCACCGCACCGGCCCCGTGCCTCCCCTCCGCCGACTCGGCAATCGGGGAGAGACAAAGGCGGCCGGGCGCGACGCTGCCGCACCGCGACCTTCGCACGCTGCTGGGGCCTGAGAAGGCACTCGTTGGGGAGCACTTGCCCCGTCGTCACGCCGGGGGGACCTTTGTCTGTGTGCAGGTGACGCGGGTGCCGGTGGAGCAGTGCGAACAGTACACCAGCTGCGGGAGCTGCCTGGGGTCGGGAGACCCGCACTGCGGCTGGTGCGTGCTGCACAGCAAGTAAGTGACACGCACACTGCCCCAGGTACTCATTTGAGGCTGAGTCAACCTGGGGGAGGCCCAGGATCGATTCAGATAATCGTCGCTGGTGTTGGCTGTAGAGCGGGAATTAAACTCGGGTCGCGGGATTCATAGTGCAGCGCGCTAACCGCTGCACCACCATTATACTCATGTTTGTGTGTACAGGCTGTGCACGTGTGTGTGCTCTACACGTGTGTGTGCTCTACACGCGTGTGTGCCCTACACGTGTGTGTGCTCTACACGTGTGTGTATGCGTAGGCTGTGCACGTATGTGCTGTGCTGGCCTTCATAGGTGCTCGCTAACAGCACTTGCCCCAATAGTCTGTTAAGGCTCTATGGGGAATCTTTCTCTTTGTTTGTGCCCTCATTTGAAACATCGCTGGCAAAATCTGCCATCACTCCAATTATCGCAAAAAAATTATCTCGGCAAAATTCGCGCACGATAAATTTATCTCTCGAATTGATTTTTTTGCTCACGTTGGTATCTTGAAGAAGGGCTGTCAACTGAAAAGCATTCCTTTAAGAGAGAATATCCTCGCACACACACGCACACATGCACGCACACGCACACACGCACACACACGCACACGCACGTACACATGCACGTACACATGCACGCACACACACGCACACACGCACGTACACATGCACGCACGCACACAAATGCGCACACTTTTGGGGAACGTGCTGTGAGCCAGCACCGATTAGGGCAGGCATGGTATCGGAGGGGGTGGGTTGACAGCACCACGCCTGGCCATCTACACACAAAAAAACACAAACAACAACCGCCATTTGCCCCTAAGTTACGGTGACATCACCACGTCGCCTGTACCAGGCCAGGTGCACTTTGAGGCGGCGTGAAGTGTTGAAGGCTCGCTTACAGGAGGTCTTGGGACAGACCCAGGTGCCATGGGTTGGCTGACTGAGATGACCACTAGATGCACCAGCTGTACCCCCTACTATACCAACTTTCTGTATTTTAGCCGCCCAGTGCTCCGCTCGTTGTTGTGAGCATCACTCCTCTGCCCTCCGTTGTTGCTGGAGGCCAACTGCCAAGTAGCAGCGTCCTTCACGAGCCTCCTCTAAAGAGGATGATCTTGACACCGCTGGTACCAGTCGTCGGCAAATCCACTCAGCTCCACATCATCCCGTACCACATCACTCCATCTCCTCTCCAGCCCGTGCCGTGCCCGTTTAGCCCCCTCTATGCGGCCAAACAGAAGCTGCTTGGGCATGCGGTGGCTGGGCATGCGGGCTACATGGCCCAGCTTACGCAGCCTTGCCTGCCGGAGGAGCTCACCGATGGGACTTTGTCCAGATCTTTCAAAGATTTGGGAGCTCCTCACACAATCCATCCTGGTTAAACCCAGGATGGATCGTAGGCAGGCCAGCCTGAATGTTTCTGACTGGAGCAGATGTTCCATTAGAGTGGTACACACTCAAACAGACACACACATACTTACACACACACGTGGACACTTACACAGAGGCTCTCTCATACACATACAATGCAATGTAATTTGGTTTTATACAGTATTTCACAATGCACACAAAGACACGTACACCGACACATTCACACAGATACACACACGTATATGTGAACACACACATACATACAAACATGCCCCACACAAAGACACATACACACACATACATATGCCCATGCACACAAAGATCCCCCTTATAGCCTTAACAGACTCTTGGGACAAATTATGTTAGCGAGCACCTATGAAGGCCGGCACGGCACACGAGGGGTGGGTGGCCAGCACCACGCCCGGCCGCCTTTGTATCCCAAGTGGAGATGTTTACACACCGCACCAGGTTTGAGGCTGAATTGACCGAGGTGGAAACCCAGGAAAGGTTCAAATAATTGTCACTGGTATTGTTCGTGAGCGGGAATCGAACTTTGGTTGCCGGGTTTATAGCGCAGTGCACTAACCGCTGCGCCACCACTCCCCCCACCCAAGTACACACACACACACACGCCCCTCCGTGAGCACAGTGTCAGTGTCGCGGCAAACTCGCCCCCTCTCTCCACTCGCTCACCCGCTCACTCCATCTCTGCGCTCACTCCATCTCTCCGCTCACCCCATCTCTGCGCTCGCCCCATCTCTCCACTCGCCCACTCTTTCCACTCGCTCACCCGCTCACTCCATCTCTGCGCTCGCTCCGTCTCTTCTCTCGCCCCGTCTCTCCGCTCCCCCCGTCTCTCCGCTCCCCTCATCTCACCACTCCCCCCATCTCGCCACTCGCCCACTCTTTCCACTCGCTCACCCGCTCACCCCATCTCTCCGCTCACCCCATCTCTCCGCTCACCCCATCTCTCCGCTCACCCCATCTCTCCGCTCTTCCCGTCTCTCCGAGAAACGATAGCGCGACGCAAGAATGCGACGGGGCCGACCTTTTGTCCTCGTGAAGGCTGCCCGGCGCCTGCCCCTTTGCTGCTGCCGCTGTTGTTGTCCTCCCCGCTGCGCCGGTGGCGATGCGCTCGCGCCTCGGCCGTAGCTGTTGAGATGCGTGGGGCCGGGCGGCTTGGGGGCTCACAATGGCCGTGTCGGAGCCACCGAGCCGGCGCCGGTTGGCGGTACCGGATTTCAGATTTGAGTTCTGGCCACGAGAGTTCAATCCGGGCTCTCGAGCGAGAGCGAGCTTTATGTTCTCAGTCCGGCCACGCAAATCCGCACAAAAGAGAGAATTTTGTACTTTAATCGGGGTATTCAAGCTGTGAGAATAAATAAAATATGTTATTAATGCGACCATGCGATGAATAGGGCTTGTGAATAGCGCACGGCCGTGGAGAGGATAGAGGTCCATTGATGGGATATCTCTCGTATTGACACGGGGTTATTCTTCAAGGACTTTTCACTGACACAAGCACGTGCACTGCTCACTAGTACAACGATTGGAATACGGTTGAGAGAGAGAGGAAACAATTACAAAAGAAGAGAAGAGTGGGAGCTGACGCTGAGTAGAGTGACTAATCAGGGCACAAGTGGGCAGAGCCTCCATACCCCCCGCCCACCCCGCACCCTTGGCGACCTGCGTTGGACCCGAGGGTACGGGATGTGTGGCAGGGGTTGTTGGGGTGCGACCACACCGCGAGGTCAGCCGGCACCCAACGCTCAGAGGTGACGGTGCGGCGAGCCGAGGGGTCACGTTGCCGATCGCTGTACGCTCGTGAAAAGCCCTCCAAACGTCAACGCAGTTGAAGAGAAACAACGGCGGTTTATTCCGTTGGCGAAAATGTCGCCTCTGATGGCTTCTTAAGAGCGCCTTTGTCTCGTAGTTATTTTATTTTATTTTTTCAACTCTAACCTGGTCCTCTCCCAGAGGCGGTCACTCTCAGCCGATTCTCTCTCTCTCTGCCTCAGCCATGTCTCTCTCTCTCCATTCTCAAAGGGTGGTTGTTGTCTCAAACACCCATTTGTCAACTTTCCAAGTTCACATTTTTTTTGGCCTTAATCAAAGCCCCCCACAGTTTTAAAGTGCCACCTCCCAAGCGTGAGTCTCTAAGGGTCTTTACGTGAGTCTCTGTGGCCACATCTCTTTTTCTCACTCTCTCTGCTCTGAAGGAGGGCCGTTGGTCGGAACGTCGACACGCTTCGAGCGTTTCTTTCGCGAGGTAGTGGCGGCGGCGGCCGGGGCGGCACGCTCGCACGTTCCCACGCTCGCGTTCGCCCCGCGCCCGTGGCTCAGATACCGATCGCACGCGCGATAGCCCCCCCCCACCGCACCCCCCCATCCCCCCCCACCTCCCTCAGCCCCCCCTGCCCGCTCCACCGACCCAACGCGCAAGGACGGGGAGCTGGGGTCAGCGTTGCCACCTGTCCAGGTTTTTCAAGGAAGCTGCCGTCCTGAGAACTCTGCCGGACTTCCCGACAGTGCAGACAATGCGTTTAGCAGGAGCCGTCCCCCCCACTGCCGGCTTCGTGACTTCACCGTCTTCAGCGCCGCCACTAGGCTTCAACACCCAGGAGAGCCTCAACACAACTCCCGCAGGAGGGTCCTGCTGGGTTTTGGGAGTAATCTTGTACATCTTGTGCGGTGCCCGCTGTCACTCAGCGCATTTTACATCAGAAATGTCACGCAAATCTGATTACGGGAAAGCCTTCCACGCTCTCCCACCCACTCTCCCGCCCGCTCAACCTGCCCACTCTCCCGCTTGTTCTCCTGCCCGGCGTTGATAAAGGAGATTCTCACCCCAATGGTTAATGTGCACTTTTTGCTCGAGCTGGTGCAATGGGGCTCAGAGAAATGTAGGGAAGGAAGTTGGGGGGTGCGTGAATGAGTGAATGAGTGAGTGTGTAATCATTCCCGTGCCTAGGTGTGCTGTTCCGGCCTTTGTAGGTGCTGCTCGCGAACAGCACTTGCCCTGACAGTGTGTTGAGGCTACACGGGGGATCTTTGTCTGTTTTGCGTAGGTGCTCCAGGAAAGACCGCTGCCCCCGCTCCAGCGAGCCGCGGCGGTTCGCCGTGGACGTGGCGCAGTGCGTGCGGCTCACCGTGAGGCCCACCAACATCTCGGTCAGCGTGTCCAGCGTGCAGGTCCGTGCACACGCACCAACCCCGCCGTCACCGCCGCCACCATCGTCACCACCGTCGTCACCACCGTCGTTAACATCCGCGGCATCTCTCGCTCAATCGCCGTGTTGCCCGTGGCATGCGGCTCTGCACCTGTGCCACTTGCCCTAAACAAACACGGCGGCAAATAAATAAATAAACAACCCGGCCAGAGTCGGGCGTAATAAATAATAAAGGCACGCACACATGCACACACACGCACACACATGCACGCACACACGCACACACACACGCACACACGCACACACGCGCACACACACACGCACACACACACGCACACACGCACACACACACGCACATGGTCGGACAGGGAGCAGGCGGAGAGCTGGCGCTAACAAGCAGATTAAACGGCGCTCGCGCGTCTCTCTCCGTCACCCTCAAAATCCTTATCCCTCCCTCCCCCATTTTCCACCTCCACCACCGCCACCACCGCTACCACCGCTACCACAACCACCGCCGTGCCGATAACCTGTGAACTGCGATTGCGACGAGCGAGCGAGCGTACGTTAGCGCTCCGGCCGTGTTTTAATTTCAGATCTTACGCCGCTAAATGAGGTCGCGAGATGATGGCATCCCCCCCACCCTGCACCCTCCATGTCCCCCATGGCCCCCTCCTTGCTCGGTGCACCGCTGCTTCCAATGCCGGTTACGAGGTGCTGCTGCTGCTAGCGCCATGGCAGTGCCACGGTCGCGCCGCATCTCTCCCCGTGCTCGCTCTCCCGCTTTGTTGGTGCACTGCGATCGTGGACGATGCTGGATGCTCCTGCCGATTGGTGGATGAGTCACGGCGGTGATGGTGGTGATGGGTGATGGTGGTGCTGGGTGGAGTGGTTGGGGAGTGGTTGGGGAGTTGTGGTACAGCGGCAACCCAGGTTCAAATCATCACCGCTGGCTCACACCAGCGGTGATGATCTGAACCGGCCCTGGTTAGAGACTCGCACAGAGACCCATATAGACTCACATCGAAATTCACTTCAGCCGGGTCTATCCGGGTCAGCGACCCAGATAATATCTCCACACCCGGCACACCACATCCAGTCTAAGTAAGAGAAGAATCCCCGGTAGACTCGACACGCCCATCGACCTGGTGAGCCTTTAAAATACTTCTTTGACCTTTTGACGTGGCGGTAGCTGTGACATGGCGATCGTTCTCGGTTGTCAACGGCAACGGCGTAGGTGGCGGCCGTGCCGATGGCGGCGATGACGATGATGAGCAGTAATGGGACTGGGGCATGCGGCCCGGGCCGATCGGAACGCCCTAACGGCCCATTAACCCGTTAACCCGTTAACCCGATTAGAGATCACAATCCCCCCGGCGGCCTCTCTTCATCTCTCGGCTGACAATTAGGGGGGCGGCGGGAGACCTGCCACTGAGCCTCCCTCCCTCCCTCACCTCCCTCCCCCATCCCCGTACTCATCATCCGTATTTATTAGCTGCCAGCCGCAATAGAACACCGCGGATACGAGCGACGATGCGGCTGCGTTTGATGGTGGAAGCGGCGGCCGTGGCTTTTGTTCGGGGCCGGTGCCAATCGGGTGACTTGCCGGCACGTGAGACGGTGGGAGGGGGGGGCAGAAGGGAGGTGGGGGGGGGCAGCGCACAGATGGCAGGCGAATACCCCCCACCCCCACCCCTCACCCCCCATACAGCCCCCCACCCTCTTCCAGCTTTGTGGAAATTTTCCTCGTCACCGCCCCCCCCCCCACCTTTCTCCCAACTCACTCGCCAGCTCCGTTTTGAATTTGGGGGTCGTAGCTGAGAGGGTCACGGTGCCGTCAGGAGGGGCTACCCACACAGCGCGAGCCCTACGGCTGCACACGCGTGTACACGTGCGCGCGTGTGTGTACGCGTGTACACGTGCGTGTGCCCGGGTGTACACGCGTGTGATCGTGCTCCCCTCTCACTTATTCGCCGTCCGGCTCTAATGTCTGCCCTCCTCTCTCTCAGTGCCGTGCTCTCTATGGCTCTGTTTCTCTCTCTCTCTGCCTGTCTCATTTTTAATTTCTCCTTGTCCGCACGTGTTTTTGCTGTGCGTCCGTCAGTCTCTCCATGTTTGCACGTCCATCCGTCTCGCTGTCTGTCTGCCAGTATCTCTGCTGCCCTGTCTACGTAATAAATTTACGTTATTAATCAGTAAAGAGTCGAGATTCTGGTTCATCGCCAGAAACTAAAATACCTTACGTTTGTGTCCATCAACCGCAGTGCCTTCTGGGCCGGTGTTTCCCATCAGCGTTTGTGGTCAGCAACCCTCACAGGCTCGTGAATTATGTCACGGAATTAAATCAACGTTTAACCAATCAGCTTTTGACTTTCTTAGTCTCAACGACAGCGTGTGGCCTGCTAAACAAACCTGTGTTGGGTTTCACGGTCGGTCCCAAACCCGCCTTGCCTTCCCACACCTCCATCTTGGATCGCACGCGATTTGTCTCTGTCCACCAGACCCACACCAGGCCCCGTATTCACAGACAAGGCCACACAGCCGTTGCCCTTGCAGCAGAAATAATAAAAATAATAATCAGGGCCGAGATGGCACCTCTCAACAGCCGGGACAGAGTCCCACGTCGACACCACGGCAACGTCCCCAGCATCGTCACCTCCGACCTGTCGCTGCACCTCAACGCCAGCGCACAAACAGGTTCCGAAGCGCCAACAGAATCAGCGGCACTGCTGTTTTTTGGTTCATTGCTGAGCTAATTCTGAGCCAATACCAGATAATTCCCGGGCCATTCCTGGGCCAGCAGGGACCATTCCGCAACGAGTCTCTAATGTGCGCTCCACTTGGCATGCGGACCTGCCTCCCTCCTCCTCGTTTTCGCAGCTCACGATCCGGGCGGAGAATGTCCCGGAGCTGCTGGCCGGAGTGAACTGCACGTTTGAGGGCGCGGCCGAGACGCCAGGAGAGGTCTACGGCTCCCGCGTGCGCTGCCTGTCGCCCTCGGCACGCGACGTCGCGCACCTCCTGCGCAACGTCACGGGTAGCGGTCGCATCGTTATAACGACCGCACGGCGCCACCGTTCACAACCGCCCAGCCGCTGGTCCACCACCAGCGTGCTTCACACAAAGGGGCAAACCGCTTTCACATTGCACATCACTGGAGCGCCACCGCCTGACGTCCGACGTTTCGCTCCACGTGCCGCCGGGAGATTCTTCGAGAGTTGAAGTGAGAGCAGCTCGTGCTAATCTCAATCTGTTCACATCCGTACGGGGATAGAGTGTTACCTCCTCGTGCAATCCGCTGAAAATTTTTTTACATTAAACACCCAATGGAGCAGCAGTAGCAGGCTATGACTCAGCGTGGCTCTCCTGGATGAAGGAGTCGCCACAAGGACTGCCTGTCCTGCACCCCCCGCACGCCCCTCTCTGCCCCCCTCGCTCTGTGTGCCTCCCCCCCCCCCCCCCCCACCAGGAGATCGCCGCGTCATGAGACTCGGACTCAAATCTCTGGGGACCGGAGTGCCGTTTGCCAGCACCAGCCTCATCTTCTACAACTGCAGCAAGCATGCGTCGTGAGTGGGGGGCACTCACAGGGAAAGCCAAATGGGTGGGGGGCAAAGGGCAGATGAGCGGAGCATAGAAGCTGGCTAGCCGGATGGGTGAGAGTGAGTGGATAGTGGTGTATGGCTGCTTGTGGGTGGTTAGGTAGCTGGGTGGCTATGTGGCTCGGTGAGTGGGTGGGTGGCTGAGTGGGTGGATAACTGGGTGGGTGCGTGGCTGGTTGGCCTTGGTGTGTGGGTGACTTGGTCGTTGGCCGAGTGGCTGGGTGCGTAGGTGACTGGGTATGTAGGTGACTGGGTGGTTGACTGGGTGGCTGGGAGGGTGGCTTGGAGCGTGGCTGGGAGCGTGGCTGGGGGGACCTGGCACGGTGAGTGAGGGATAGACGATGTGCTCAGGCGGACATCAGCGCTGTATTTACCGAAAAGCAGCTCTGAGAATCGATGCCGGGAGGGCGGGGCGGGGCGCGCCGGTGGGTGGCGTGCGAGGGGGGGGGGGGGATCGGGCTGGGGGGGGGGGGGGGGACGATGGAGGAATTTGGCAGTGACGAGCGGAGGAGCGTGACGGGAGAGGCGCTGCTTGTGCCACGTGACGCCTCCACTGCGGCTGGAGATGCCGTTTACGGCGAGTGGCTATCGACAGGAAGGACCCCCCACCCCTCACGCCCCCACCAAGATCGCGCTGTGATGGATTAGGATGCTCTCTCTCCTCTGTTGCTGTTTTGTTTTTCTTAATCCACGATTTTAATTACAATTAGACATTACACTCTTTACGATTGTGAGGGCAAATCCCGTTAGAGGAGCCGTGAAAGATTTCCGCACAGCAGCAGCAAAATGAATCTCCCGCAATGAAACGAGATTCGACGGTTGTGGCGGCGGCGATGGCGGTGTAATCCGGCTGGCGGCGCTCGGCAGGTTCCGCGCGAGATTGTACGCCACGGAGAAAATGTGACTCAATAAGAGGCTAAATCCCCTGGTGATTGCCTCTTACGGGCGTAATGTAACACGGGCGAGGGTGGCGCCGCGCGGCAGATGCTCGCTCGCCCGCACGTGTTAGCGTGTGTGTGTGTGCGTGTATGTGCGCGCGTGTGTGTGTGCGCGTGTGTGTGCATGCGTGTGTGCGCACGTGTGTGTGTGCACCCCTCCGTGACGTCACACTCAGTGATTCAGCAACCCGACGACAATAACGACGATGACGGCGGTGGTGGCGGCGATGGTGGTGTTGGTAGTGGTGGCGTTGGTGGTGGTGATGCTGGTGGTGGTGGTGTTGGTGCCGGATGGCAACGCTGTGGTGGGCAGTGCCGTGGTGGGAGGGCCAATGTAGATTGGCCTTTCCCCTCATGGCGTTTGTAACCACCACGGCGGCCACATGGGGGCTCTGGACAGGTACGAGGGGCTGGTTAGCCCCTCACCTTCAATGAATTACCACCAAACCACGGCGTCTATGACGTCTCCTGGCCATACCCCATTTGGCAGAGCCAGGAGACTGAATCCTTACCCTCGGGGCTCCTCCAGAAACAACAAAAACCCATTACGGGTGGCCACGTGGAATGTTCAAATGCTCGCTGCGGAGGAGAGGCTGCCCTCTCCTCTGTCGTGAGCTGGACTGGTACCACCTGGCTCTCTGTGGTGTTCAGGAGGTCCAGTGGACCGGCTTTGGTTCCTGTCACCATGAGGAGGGGACAGTCCTCTACTCGGGACAGGAGACTGCCAAACAATAGGGAGTGGCTCTGAAGGAGGCGTGGGAGCGTGGCGGTGAGGTGTGTGAAGTTGTAAGCCCTAGGTTACTTTGGGCTCGCCTTCTCATCAACCAGAGGCGAGGAGTGGTGGTCGTGGTTACTTATGCCCCCACAGAAGACGAACATGCGTGGAGGGATGCAGGCAAGGCCGATGAGTCAGATGCCTTCTATAACCTCCTGTCACAGGTGCTGGCTAAAGTGGCCCCTCGGCATAGAGTCATCTTGTTGCGTGACTTCATTGCCCGAGTTGCTCATGATGCTAGCACCTGGTCTTGAGTGATTGGAAGACATTGGCCAGATCAGCTCAATAACAACGGTAGGAAGCTGCAAATTTTTTGTGCAGCCCATAGGCTTGTAATTACCAACACGCTCTTCCGGCATCGGCGCATCTACACAACATCATGGATGCATGCCAGGTCCAAGCAAGAACATCTGCTGGACTACATAGTGACGGAACAGCGGATGTGGGCCCATGTCCTTGACACCAGGACCTACCGTGGAACTGATCTGCCAACTGACCATCGACTTGTCATCCGTAAGATGCACCTGCCATGCCATTCTTCCACTCCGGTGGTGGGTGTAGTGGTTAAATTCAGGCGCACACTGGAACTTTGGAGGCAACACTATTTATTAGGTAACATAACAATTACACTTAACACAACGACTTAAGGTGGTAGCCACCTTTCCTAACTTAGCTAACCCACGGGGGTACTACATCACTGGACCAGGACAGCCCAACACAGCGGCCGGGTCCACTAGCGGAGACCGGAGATCTTCATCCCAGATATGACCCAGCAGCAGAGCAGAACAGCCCAGGACAGCCCAGCTCTATGTCCACACCCCACCCCCCTTCCCGATCCTTCGGGAAGGCCCGAGCCCCCAACCACGTGACCCCCTGGGGCCCCTGGCTCCCTTTATCTGGTCACGTGTCCTGTTGGGTTCACGCAGAGTGTCACAGCCTGACACGACCTCCGTGACACCCGCCTACGGTCCCTTTACGACACTACAGGTGGACACCTAGGACAACATTCAAACCCATAGTGGCATGGTCTCAGCTAGCTGGTGAAAGCTGCAAGCGAGAATTTTATCATTGCTTGTGGCTGGGGTTGGCATCGTCCCCCACTCCTCCTGATGTCGAGGGGAAATGGGCGAGGTTTAGGACTGTGGCTCATGCAGCTGCAATGGCTGCTTTGGGTACACGGTCCAGACCTCCCCAGAGACCCTGGCTGACAGAGGAGGTGTTCAGGGTGGCTGAGAAAAAGCGACAGCCCACTCTCATCATCTATAGCATCCCACGTCAGAGAATGAGGAGGCTTACCGCAGCCTTCGCTCGGAGATTCAGAGGGCCGTGAGGCGCTGAAAGGATGGGTGGTGGTCGCAGGTTGCTGAGGAGATGGAGTCTGCCGCAATGGCCCGCGATCACAAATCGCTCTTTAACTCCATTAAATAAGTAGCCTGCAGCGCCACACCTATTACCATGATTAGGGGAAATTATGGTGATCCAATTTTTGACCCCCAGAAACAGGTTTGCAGATTTTTTTTAGAATTTTTTTGAGGTCCAGGGGGAGGGGAAATCCCTCAACCTGGAAAAAATCATAGGACTGGTACCAGCGGTGTCAAGATCGGCCTCTGTGGAGGAGGCTCGTGAAGGATACTACTGGGCATTTGGAGCCAGTCGCCCTCTAACAACAACGGAGGGTGGAGGAGTGACGCTCACAACAATGAGCGGAGCGCCGGGTGACTAAAGCACAGCAAGTTGGCACAGTAGGGGGCACAGGTGGTGCATCGGCCAGTCATCTGAGTCAGTCGGCCCGTGGCACCTGCTGGGTCTGCCCCGTGACCTGCCAGTGGGCGTTCGACACTTCACGTGGCCTCAACATGCACATAGCCTGGCACAAGCGTCGTGGTGACGTCACCACCACTTAGTGGCGAATGACGGTTGTTGTTGTTGTAGGTGGGGAGCGGTAGTGTAGTGGTTAGCACGCTTCGCTATGAACCTGGCGATCCGAGTTAGATTTCTGCTCATGGCCAACACCAGTGACGATTATCTGAACCGGGCTTGGGCCTCAAATGAGTAACTGGTGCGGTGTGTAAATGTCGCCACTGGGGAGACAAAGGCGTGGTGTTGGCCACCCACCCCCTCGTGTGCCGTATCGGCCTTCATAGGTGCTCGCAAACAGCACTTTCCCCAACAGTCTGTTAAGGCTACACGGGGGATTTTTGTCTTTGGTGTGGGTGGTCGTGGTGTTGGTAACCGCCCACCGCTGTTCCTCATTCCGTGCGCCGTGCAGGCGGTGCGACGCGTCACGGCGCGAGCAACAAAACAAATAAAGCAAAATCAATTTTGAGAATGACCGAGGAGTGAAGAATGGATAATGAGATGTGGTGAGGGAGGGGGTGAGGGTCGGAGCCAAGGCTGGGTGATGCCTTCTGCTGCCGTGGGTGTTTGCATCGTCTAAACACCGCTGTCTGTCTCTCTCTCCCTTCCTCCCCCTCCATCGTCATCCCTCTGTTGTCTGTCCCTCCCTGCTTACCCCCCTGTTGATGGCCTCTCCCTTCTCTCTCTCTGATTATCTCTTCGTTTGTAATCTTACCCCCTGTCTCTTTGTCAGCTCTCAAACATTTTCCATTACCTTTACCACCATCATTATGATCTTAAACTCCTTTGCCTGTCTCTCCCTCCTACCACGACCTACACCATCGTTATCATCTCTCTGTTGTCTGTCTATCTCTTCTCATTCCCCCCTTTTATTGTCTCTCCTCTCTGCTGCCTCTCCCTTGTCATCTTCCCATCATCAATACGTTTCTCTCCACATCCTTTTTTCATCACCCATCTCCACCTCCTCTCTATCTCTCCCACCACCACCACCACCACCTCCTCCTCGTACCCCGCCCCCCCCTCCCGCCCGCCAGCTGCCTGGCGTGCGTGAGCAGCTCCTTCCCGTGCCACTGGTGCAAGTTCCGCCACGTGTGCACGGACCACCCGGGCAGCTGCTCCTTCCTCGAGGGCAGAGTGAACGTCTCCGAGGTGAGTGCCGCGGCTCGTTACGTAAATCCGTCGCGACGCTAACGGCCGTGGCAATCCGCCCGGCCTCGCGAGGCTCGGAAACGAGATGCCGGCGCTGACGGGGCGAGGCCGTGGGGGCCACGCGGGGGCCGTGGGGAAGGGGGGAGGAGTGGGGGTACGAGGGCAGCGCCGTCGGAGGTGGTGGCGATGGGAGCGAGGTGGTGAGGGATGCGGAGAGAAGCGGTGGAGATGGGAGATTTGGAGGAGTTGACCGGAACAGGCGACAAGCAGGCACAAGCAAACCGATTAAAGGCTAAAGGCCCAAAGCATCTCAAGGCCCCCAGAGTTGTGGCAATAGCGAGAAGAATAATAATGAGGGTTGTGCCGAATTTAAATTTGATCCGTGGAAAAATAAATAAATTGACATGTAAATTATTTTAATAACTCTTAAAACTATTTAATTGCAATTAGTCTATTAATGCGGTAATATTCACATGCTCGCACGGCAATCACTTTGGGCTCCGAATGGAGTCGCGACCTCACTGACGGAGAGATGTCGATGGGAGGATGAGATGTTGATGGGATGATGAGACGTCAAAAATCTGAAGAAATAAATGGTTGGATTTCGCTCGCTTCTTTGTAAAGGTGCGCTGTGCCGACGTCCGCCCTGGCGAATGCTCGCCCGCCTAGGTGAGCGTTCACGAGTGTTTAAATTCAGCCGGGTCTGCCCGGGTCAGTGGCCCAGACAATATTCTCACACGCGGCACACCACATCCAGTATACTTCCCATTCCGCTCTACCAGCGGGAGTCGGAAAATATTGGAGCGAGAGATGAGCCCCGGGTGGCAAGCCGAGCAAAGCAGTGTGGGGAGCTCTCCTCTCCCTTGGCCAGCGGTGGAAATTCCACACTCCCCTCGCTCCACAGTCGCCTCTTTATTTAAATGCCCGTAATGATCCGCAGCAGCGAGTGGAGCGCCCCGGGCTAACGAGCCACGCACCTCCTGCCCGTCGCCCACCCTCTGGGGCGTGGTGGGGGAGGAGGGCCGGGGGGAGGCTGTAGGGAGGGAAGTCGCTTCTGCAGATAGATCTTTTTTCCAAAGTCGGGGCTTCATTGCTCACCGGGTCGCTGTTCAACTGCGAGTGGGCCGCACGTCACTGCTACCAACCACGGCCGTAGCGACTGGTTATACTGGTTGTGGTGTGCCGGGCGTGGAAGTATTTTGCAGGTCACCGATTTCGACGGGCCATTCCTCCTGGGTCTCCTCGCCGTCACCCCACCCACCACACCCCCCGCCGCTCGGCCGCCCCCCTTCCCCCGCCCCCGTTGCAGCTGTCAGGATCGGAGACCCAATACAGACGCCGTTGTGCGCGCGCACACGGCCGCCTTTGTTGCTGGGGGGGACGCGCGCAGGAGAGCGTGCGTTGACTGCGATCACATTCCGCTGTCTGTGCGCGCGCACATCGCGTGGCCATTGTCCAGCGCGCAACGCCACGGCGGCGGCCTCGCGCTTGAACCCCGACGGCCCCTCGCTTGATACCCGATAGCCTCTCACTTGATCCCCAATGGCCCCTCACTTGAACCCCAACAGTCCTTCACTTTATCCCCGACGGCCTCTCACTTGAATCCCGACGGCCCCTCACTTGAACCCTGATGGCCTTTCTTTGGAACCCAGACGGCCCCTCACTTGAACCCCAACGGGCCCTCACTTGAACCCCGACGGCCCCTCACTTGAACCCCAACGGCCCCTCGCTTGAACCCCGACGGCCTTTCTTTGGAACCCAGACGGCCCCTCACTTGAACCCCGACGGCCCCTCACTTGAACCCCAACGGCCCCTCGCTTGAACCCCAACGGCCCCTCGCTTGAACCCCAACGGCCCCTCGCTCAAACCCCAACGGCCCCTCGCTTGAACCCCAACGGCCCCTCGCTCGAACCCCAACGGCCCCTCGCTTGAACCCCAACGGCCCCTCGCTTGAACCCCAACGGGCCCTCACTTTAACCCCGACGGCCTTTCACTGGAACCCCAACGGCTTCTAGCTTGAACCCTGCCGGATGGGCGAATTTTCAAGGGTACCGAGTGACTCGTGAAAAGAGGGGCGACTCATGAACAGGGGGGCCACCTGTGAAATGGAGGTCAGCTCACGAGAACGGGGGTGTCTGATAAGAAGGGGGGGTGGGTGGGGGATAAAGCAGAGTCACCGTGCTGGCACCAACGTTGAATATTTGCGTACAGCTGCAATATCCCCATAGGTGAAACAACTTAATTTGGAGCTTTCGAGTAATCCCCATAGGTGGTTGCTGTATTGTCACTGTCACCTTGGCCACGCGGTTGGCCACGCGGCGGGTGAGCCCGATTGGCAACGCCCGGAGGGTCAGTGCGGCCCCTTGCGCTCGATCTCGTCGAGCCTCTCGCGCTCGACAAACGCCGCCCGCGCGGAGCGTTGTTCCGAGCCCTCACCAATGCCTCCCGGGAACGCTGTGGACGATTCTCGACCCGGGTTGACGGTCTGAACGCGGGGGTCACGGTAACTCTCCCGGGGGCGATGCGACACGAACGCAGCTCCCGTCTCACGCCGTGCCGCTATTGGGGACTCGCCCCGGCAGGAGACCGGACGCGTTAATCGGAGCGTCGTCTAAAACGTGTTAAAAGGACCCGCCTCGGTATCCCGGCCCTGCCGGCCAGAGATGGCGTTGCCCGGCCTGGCGCGGGCGCCGCCGTCATTGCGCGTGGCGGAATCCACGCGCGTGCCCGGCTTGTGTCGCGCACGCATCACGCATCGTTCCAAACAGCTGCTGCAAGCGCTTATCAAAAATTATAATTATAATAAAAACAACCGCAAGCAAACAATCCGGAGGATTGACGGCAAACAGCGGGCGGGCGGGCGGGCGAGCAGGCAAGGATGTATTTGCTTTAATTAAAAGTGTGCTCTGTGAAAGATCGACGTTTTTATCAAATCTAATCACATTAAACATTCATAGTGGCGGCTTCAAAGGCGGCGCTGTGTCGTAGCTGCAAAGTCAGCCCCGGGGAGGCGGCTGTTTACACCTGTTAGCTGTGTCAGTTTGGATGTGGCCCAATGTGTCTGCGGCGTGCACCACTGCTATTGTTTACAAAGGCGGCGTAATGAATTTTGCTTTGACGCTGATTGCGTGAGGCTCTGTGATCTCCGCGCCCGAGCGGCACTCGACGACAAACCGCTCGCTTCCTGAAGCGCGCGCGTGGGGCATCCCGCCACTCCGCGCCCTCCGCAACGACGCCTGGCGGTTAGCACGCCGCACCACGAACCCGAGTTCGATTCCCGCTCGCGGCCAACATCGGCGACGAATGTCTGAACCGGTCTTGGCCCTCCTCTAGGTCGACCTAAATGAGTATCTAGTGTGGTGCGTGAACATCAGCATGGGGAGACAAAGGCGGTCGGGTGTGTTGCTGGCTAGCCACTCTCTCGTTGGGGCGCCGTGCCAGCCGCTCGCTAAATGCGCTTGCTCCAACGGTCTCTTGTGGATTTTGCTCACTCGATGCAATTCCCAGCGCTCGCGTCGTCCGGAGGGGAAATTTGCCCATCGGCCAATTGGCGACGCGGTTTACCCGGGGGCCGAACGCCGGAGGGCGACGACCGCCCTCACGGGCGCCGGCGTCGTCGATCCGGGGGCGTTTGCTCGTAATGAAGACGATCAGCGCCACGGCGCAAGTGGGGAGGAGATGGCCGTGGCTCACAGGGAGCGCCGTTAATGAGGCCACGTGACGCGCTTAGCACTGGGGAGGGGGGGGGGTGGAGGCCGCGGCGCGCACTTGTGGCACAGGGCGCACTCAATTACCACTCGGCTCTGCTCGATTATAATTTTAGTGGCTTTACAGGGGAGTTTCAAACCATCGATTGTTATCTCTGTTTGTCTATCCTCTGTAACGGGGGTGGGGGAGGGGGCAGGGGGGTGGGGGAGGGACGATAGCTCTCGTTAAGTTGATTCAACGTGAACGAAGCTTCATTGTGAAGCTGCGTCGCGAACACTCGCCACTCGAGACGGAGCGCCGCTCCCGTGCCGTGCCCCCCCTCCGCTAACCCTTTAACCCCGCCCTGGATTAGAGAGGGGGGGGCGGCACGCTGAACGAACTTAAAACAAAAGCTGAACGCTGATCAAGACGAGTATCAATGATTGACTTGACTTGAACAGTTTAGAAAAGGGGAGCCTTGTGTGTGTCTGTCCACTCTGCCACATGCAGAAGTGCACGTACGTGCATGTGCGTACAGGAGTGCACGTGCGTGCGTGGATATGGGAAGGGGTAGTGTCGTGCTTAGCGCACTGTGTTACGAACCCGGCGGCTCGAGTTCGATTCCCGCTTCCCGCCAATAAGAGTGGCGAATATCGGAACCAATGCCTGGGCCTCCTCGAGGTCGAGCCAGTGCGGTGTGTAAACATCAGCACTGAGGAGTCAAAGGTGGCCGGGCGTGGTGTTGCCCCCCCCCCACCCCTTGTGTACCACAGCGCCGGCCCTCATAGGTGCTCGCTACTAGCAGCACTAAGCGGGGGATGTTTGTCTTTGTATCCACAGGAGTGCCCGCAGCTGCTGGCGCCCTCCGCGGACGTGCTCATCCCGGCCGGCGTGGTGCGGCACGTGACGCTGGCGGCGCGGAACCTGCCCCAGCCGCAGTCGGGCCAGCGCGGCTACGAGTGCGTGCTGACGCTGGGCGGGCGCGAGGAGCGCGTGCCGGCGCTGCGCTTCAACAGCTCCAGCGTGCAGTGCCAGGAGATCGCGGTACGGACTCGCCGTGTGCCGCGTGCCGCGTGACGCGTGCCGCGTGCCGCGACGGAAATGCGAGCGCCCGAGCCCCGCGAGCCCGAGAGCCGGCGCTCTCACTGGGCGGCGCAAACCGCCGGATGGGATTTGACAATAAATACGATCTAGATGCTGGCGCCGCCGATAAAAACACCCAACCGCCAGGGATTTTAATTGCAGCGACATGAATAATTTAGCGGTGGCGTGCGGCTTGTGGCGGTTAAAGTGCACCGCCGCTCCGCCCAACAGGAGGAAGCGCTAGCTGATCGCGTGATTTTAATTTAATTAGGCTGGGGTGGTTACAAGTAGCCAGCGCCGTTAATCTCCCCGTGCTGGCTCTGCCGAGTTGTAATCAGTTCGGCTTGCCACGCCGCCCGTGTCCTCTTTCTCCGGTCCCGTTGATCGCTCGCGGATTTCTTATCCCACCGCTCGCTCCGTTTGCTCGCCACGTGTCCCTTTCATCCCTGTTCTCTCGCCTTGCTCATTCCCCCGAGTTCCATCGCTCGCGTGATGGGGCTCTCCGCTCGTTCCCGTCACCTGTTCAGTGACTCGTGTCCCGTCCCACAGCTCGCTTCTCTGCTCCACCGCTCGCTCGTTCGCTCACCCTCTGTTCTAGCTTTTGCTTGCCACACGTTGCATCACTCGCGCATTGCTCGCCCCTTTACTCAGTCACTCACCTCACATCCCATCGTTCACTCATTAGGTCACTTACACTCCCTCACTCACTGACTCACTCACCATTTCATTCATTCACCCGCTCACTCACTAACCCATTCATTCATTTGCCCACACACCCACTGACCCGCTCCCTTGCTCACTCCCTCGCTCACTCACTCTGCTCGCCCCAGAGTTGGGAGGCCCAGCCTGGGTGTTTCTGTGCCACCGCTGCCGATGAGATTCGCCCCACAGTCCCCCCCCCCCCTCTCGACCGATGTGTAGTGGCAGCAGCAGCAGCGGTGGTGATCGCGACCCAGACATGGCGCGCTTCCCGTGGTGTTTGTTTGTTTGTTTAGGCTGCAAAGTAACGGCCATGACGACGGTCATAATAATAATAATAATTATATTTACACCGACGTTACTTCACGGCCACAGTTTGTAACTGAGTGGGGTTGGGGAGGTGGGGGGAGGATGTGGTGGTTGGAGGGGCACGGCGATGATGATGATGATGTGTGTGATGTACCAGCGTTGGAACGCGGTGGGTGAGATGGGGCTGATTGAGCCCCGGGAAGGAGGCCAAGGCTGTAATGGGAGCCGAAGGAAATGCCGGATTCCGGGGAACACAAACATCCGCCTCGCGTATTTTGCTGCCCTCAGTAACCTTGGCGTTAAAATAATATCGCCTCTACTCCACGCGAGCGGTGGAGCAGCGGTTAGCGCGCCGTGCCATGGCCGCGGCGACTCGAGTTTGATTCCCGCTAGCGGCCAACATCAGTGGGACGAATATCCAAACCGGTTCTAGGCCTCCGCTAGGTCGCTCATGGTTAACTCATGGAGAATGTCAGCGTAGCACTGCTGTTGCCCTAGGCCTTCAATGAGTACCTGGCACACTTTCCCTAACAGTCTGTTGAAGACTATATGGGGAGATCTTTGTCTTTGGAGCCGGTAGTGTAGCGGTTAGCGCACTGCACGACGAACCCCTCGACCCGAGTTTGACTCCTGTTCACAACCAACATGGGTGACGAATAGTTGGACCGATCCTGGGCCTCCCCTAGGTCGACTCAAATGAGTACCTGATGCAGTGTGTAAGCATTGGCACTCGGCGACAAAGGCGGCCAGGCATACTTCTGGCCAAGAATCCCCTCATGTGCATCAAACGTCTGTTAAGGCTCCATGGAGGATCTTTATTTTGTGTGTGTGGTGCTACGAGGACCGCCGTCGACGTGCGTGTGTGCATGTGTGCGCGTGTGCGCGTGTGTGTGTGTGCGTGCGTGTGTGCGCGTGTGTGCGCGTGTGTGTGTGCGTGTGTGTGCGTGTGTGTGCGCGTGTGTGCGCGTGTGCAGTATGCGTACGACGAGGACGTGGGTGACGTTCTCGTCGACTTCTCCGTCGTTTGGAATGGAGATTTCGTCATCGACAACCCGGCCGACATCAAGGGTGAGTCGCCAATTCCGGGCGGGAGTGCCAGGCGCGGTTCATCACCACCACCGCCGCCACCGCTGCATGCTCGTAGGACACGCTCCTCGCGGTGGTACATCTCAGCCGGCCCTGCGCAGCGCGACCTGCACGCAGCATCGGCCAGCGGCCCGCCACGAGGAGCCTAAGCTGCTCCCTAGTTTTGCTCAATCAACCAACTTGCTGATGATTGATCAAAGTCGAGATCTTTACCGTCCACTGTGACGCAAGCCGCACGTTGTCGTGTTTCGTGGCTCCAGTATTAACCAGCGCGGTCACTGGGGTTCCTATAATTAGTTGGTGACGCGGAGAGCCACCCGCAAAGAGTATTGCTCAGGAGGGACCCGCTACACTGGGATGTTTGGTCAACAGCAGTTACACAGCGTGTGCGGGTTTAACTATGGGAGGAGGAAACCCGTCCACAACAGCGGGAGGTCATACAAACTACACACGGACAGGATGCCAAGTTGGGAATCCAACACAGGCACTTGTGGCTGCGTGCTACCGCCGTGGGCGCCCAACGGGTTCGAACCGCGACCCTCGGCAACGAGCGGCGATCGCGCCACGGCCGCCCTCCCCCGGCGATGCTTTCCCGCGCGGACGCCACAAATCACGGAGAAATACCCCGGTGAGCCGGGAGCATCCTTAATTGAAAGTGGGGGGCACCCTTATCGCCTCGATTGCGTAACGCGCATCGCGCTCCGAGTTAAAAATAGGAAGATCGCCGCACGCTAATGGTCCGTGGTTAATGGCACTCGTATCAGATGGCGAGCTCCGTGTCGCGTGCTCTTTTGTGCCGAGCTTTAAGTGTGCGCGTGCATGCGTGCGTGCGTTCCCATCCCCAGCGGCCTCTGAACTTAAATTTTCCATTTGCCCACGCTGCAGCCGGCATCAACAGCGGCGCGTGACGGCGTGCGGGCTCGCCCGCGCCCATAGCGTCTCAAACACAAACCGCCAGCAGACCGCCAGAAGTCTGCCAGCAGCCTGCCTTTGCGCAGGCAGCATACGCGTGTGCACTGACACACACACACACGCTCATGCGCACGTGCGCACACGCGCACTGAGACGCACGCACAAAAAACCCTGAAACGCGATCGACCCCGCGGCCGCTGACGAACGGGCGTCTGGCCGCGGCCGCTTGCCGTGCCGGGTTAATCGGGATTCCCGTCCACTTAGGATCCATCTCGCCGTGACGGACGATGGGGAGCGGCGGTGTCCTGGGACTCGCGGGGTCGGAGGTCGCGCTAAAACAACCCCCGCACGCGCAAATAAATAAATAAAGCCCGCGTAGCCGAGCGCCGAGCGGCACGCGGGCGTCCCAGCGGCTCGCCGCCGCCGCGATCGGCTGCGGCCGGCGTAGCCACCGCCATCTCTCGCTGGCCGTGATTGACTCGCACGCCACTCTGGCCCTGCCGGCGTGGGACGCCGGCGCTGGTGGGCAGCCAGAGGAGGGAACCACGTAGATGGAGCGGAAACACTCCGATATTTCAGAGGAGCGGCACTCTTCATTCCAACTTGAGGCCAATCGAACAGGCAGCGACCTCGTCGGTCGGTCTCACTTCTCGGCCGCATATCAATAATTACTTCTTATAGATCCAGCCCCACGGGAAAGAGGAGCGCAGCAAATCCACGCGGACTGCGAGATGCTCGTCGCCTTGGAGGGAGGCCTTCGTCCGGCAGTAGATCGATCGTCGCCGACGATGAACATGAGCGTCGTTGCCTCCATGTCTTGGGCCGCGCTGCGAATTTGGAGTGGACGTGGCAAATGGTTGTTGTGTTCACGTGGGCGTGCATGTGTTCACGTGGGCATGCGTGTGTGCTTGTGTGTCCTGTGTTCACGTGGGCGTGCGTGTGTGCTTGTGTGTGCTGTGTTCATGTCGGTGTGTGTGTGTGCTTGTGTGTGCTGTGTTCACGCGCGTTGCGAGCAGTGCACCTGTACAAGTGCTCGGCCGCGCGCGACAGCTGCGGCCTGTGCCTGAAGGCCGACGCACGCTTCGAGTGCGGCTGGTGCAAGGGCGAGGAGCGCTGCACCCTACGCCGGCACTGCGCCGCGCCCGACCTGCACTGGCTGCACCGTGGCATGCCCCTCGCGCGCTGCGCCCACCCGCGCATCACCGAGGTTCGGCACCGCAACGCGTCTGTCCGTTCGCCCACCGCTTTCCTGACGCTGCGATGATTGTCACCCGCACCCACCACCCACTCACGCGTCGCTTGGTTGTCCTTCCCCCGCACCTGCGATTAGCACGGTTGTCGACGTACGGTGCAAAATTAATTTCAACATACGTACGTACGTCCGGTGACCGGCACACAGCACACGGCACCGTGCCAAACCGCGTCCGTCCACCGCTCACTGTGCATCACCGTGGCTTAGCCGCACGCGCTTTGATCTTCCCAACCTGCGCGTCGCTCGCTGAGGTTCTTGAATCGATCTGTGTGGAGTTTGAGAGTGCTGTGTAACGTGCCCTGTAGCACGACCCTCCTGAAAGGGAGTCCCAAGGCTTAAGACTCGTTGTGTTATTGGCATTACAAACGCGTGCCCGCAGCACGCCACAACATCGCTCAACATAAACCGCGCACCACCGCGCACTCAGACCGGTCGTGCGGTCGCCGCGGTTCGGCGGCAGCACTTAACCGCACGCCACGAGCCCACCCCCTTGCACGCCCCACGTCGCCGACTCCGGCTCCGTGCTCCGCGCTCCGCGCTCCGTGCTCCAGTCTCGGAGCAACGGCACTCTGCGGCCACTCGTGCACGCGCGCGTCCATGCACGGGCGTTGCCGGCTCTTACAAACTCGAGGGGGTGGGCAGACGGGCGGGCGAGTGGTCGAGAGTGCACATCGAGGGCCCAGCTGCGGTCCGCGTGCCAGCGCCGCGCGGCGTTGCCGCGGCTGGAGCCGCCGTCGCGGCTCGCGCACGACGCGTCTTGCCAGCTGGCCGTCGCTCATTTGCGTGATGAGCGCCGTTCGCCGGCTCTTGCCGGGTTAAGCGAGTGAATAATTGATAAACCGGGAGGCGCTAACGACGCGGATTGTTCGGCCGTTGCGCAGCGCGCTGCCGGTTAGCGCCGCGGGCTTTCGCGCCGCCTCTCATCGTTTTCTTTGATTCGTATCACGGAGTGGGAAGTCGCGCTTGGAAGCGCGCGGCGCGACGTCGCCCCGCCCCTCCCCCCGAGCAGAAACGACCCCGCGGAAGCGGATGTCGTAGAGCCGTTCCGGAGGTCCTCCTCCGATTGCACCCTGGTACCCACGCCGGCGGGCATCGAGTGCCCACTGCTCACCCTGCCGTCGCGGTGCCCACGTCGCTCCACGCGCAAAATTGTACTTGCGTGACGCTTCCTTCGGTCGCATCGGAACCCGGCACACCGCACGCCCCACGAGCCGCCGGCTCAAGTTGGTTCTCATCAAGCCCATCAACTGTCGTCACCGTCGCCACGATGGTCGTCATCGTCACGAGAGGAGAGTGCGCTCGCGCAGGCCGCAAGCAAACCGGCACGACTCCCACTGCGCAATCCATTCTGCCGCTCGCCGACCGACCACGCGGATAAATATACGGTGAGGAATTAAGCCCCAGGGGCTACTAATGTTAGGGCAACCGCACAGCCCCCCCTTCCCCCCGCCCCACCGTCTCGCCCCGCCCCCCGCTCTCTGTCATGACGGCAGCCGGCGACAACGTGAACGATTCGGGGGCGGACGCGGCGCAGCTGCTGGCCGTGTCCACGCGCCTCTCCCTCGTCTGTGCGCTCACGGCGCGGCGGCGTGGGGCGGGGGGCGGGGGACGGGGGGCTGCTACGCGCGTGTGGGCCGGAGCCGCCCTCCTGGGGCCGGGGGTGCAGGCCCTCCGCACCCCCCCCCCCCACACAACTCCCGCAACGGGGCCACCGGCAGCAGCCATGTTCAATCCGCTGCTGGACGAAGGCCTCCCCGAGCCATTGCCGTTTCTCACGATCGCGCGATGCAGCCCGGCCATTGTCGCTCGCCCTCGACAACCGATCTCGAACCGCCGCCTCCACCGCCGCCGTCAGCACCGCCGCCACCGCCATCAATGCCGCAACTTCGTCACCGACGCCGCTAGTGCTGGCGCTGCCTCAGCCGGCCAAACGGATGGTGCACGTGCGTGGCCGCGCGTCGCTCGCTGACATTTGTGCCAGCGGGCGCCACGCGGCGTGCCCCCCACGGGCGCCACGCGGCGGGCCCCCCGCGGGCGACGCGCCGAGCCAGCGCTTTTTAATATTTATTCCTCCCCACTTCCTCGCCACCGCGCGGCCCCAGGCGCACGAGCGCCGAGCGCCGCCCGTGAATAATTAATCCTCCGGTCCCCAGCAGCAGGGCCCACTTTACGACACTGAGGCGCCTGCCCGCGCCTGCCACTGTGGGGTCGTCCGTCTTCGAGAGCAGGAAGCGGGGGTTGACAGCGATTGCCCAGACGCCAGTCGGCTTCTTGCTGCTTGCTGGTTTGTTTTGGAGTCTCCACCTTCTGGGAAGAGATCATCGTCCGCACCGTCGTCCTCGTACAGGCGTAACAGGTGGACTCCACATTTTTGCCGTACCGCCTTCTCCCGGCAGAGCCAGGGTACGATTCCTCCTCGACGCCCGCCCGCGGGAATGTGGGTTTCACAACATCCGTGTGCGGTGATCCACCAACCCTCGCTGCTGCCTCCACAGCGCCGGGTGACAGGCAGCCACGTGGAACTGCATAGCCACGGCGGTGGGAGTGGTGGCTTCCTGCGCCGCTGCCGCCGCTGTGAAGGGGCAACGGCCGTGCAGACTCTGCGTGCTGCCGGAGCCATCCTTGAGGCTCATCTGGCAGCATGGAGAGAGCGCCGGCACCCTGGCACGCCGCAGGAGACGGCGCGGCCCCCGTCGCAGAGGCGTGCGGCCGGGTTGAAAAAAAAAATCTATTTGTCAAAAACGATGACTGCTCGTCCCCCCCAGCGAAACAAATTGTGGTGGGGGAGGGGGGGGACGTCCTGGCACCCCCCCGCCCCCCGATGACCTGGATAGCGATTGCCATTGTCACGATCGCTAATGTCGCCGCATTACCCCGGTCGATTCCGTGACAGATGTTTGTTTTCACAGGCGTCATTTGCAACCATCGATTAATTTTTTACATATTTCATTTCATCATTGTCATCGTCATCGTCGTCAACAACCCCGGTGCATGGCTTGATGTTTCGTGTTTGTCCGGCTGGCTCAAGGCCGTGAACGGGAGATGCACATAATAGCAGCCAATCGTGTTGACGTTCGACAGATATCAAGTAATTCACCAAAAAGTTTGTTTACTGAAGGTCCGCGACCTGACCCAGGCAGAGAACAAAGCGGATTGGAGGAGAGGAAAGCGTCTCTGAGACGGCCGCCTCACTGACATCTGCGAGTCGCAGAGCGACAGACGTTGCCCATTTCGGTTGAACCCCTGTCTCCCCGTTGCTGTGGGCGCCACGTCGGTTCAGGGAGCGTGCCTCCTTGCGCGACTTGAGCCGCGTCGACGGCCGGGGCTTGCGGTGACGTTGGGGTGGAGGCACGGCGGGGGGTGGGTGGCCCTCTCCCCCTCTCTCTTCCCCCCTCTGTGCTCTTAGGCAATGAATGTCGGCTGTGCGTGGTGCCAGCGATCGAGGGCGTGCATGGCGGTTCCCACTCGGTCGCCTCGCGTCTCCCCCTCCACCCTCTGCAAGCATTCGCGTGCGACGCTGCCTCTGCTGCTGCTGATCATGACGATTACGATGCTGCTGCTGTTGCTGTTGATTAGAATCGAATTGCGGACAGCAGCAGTAGAGAAAGGAACACTTGGTGACCGAATGGAACTCGCGCCGTCCTTGCGTGCGTGTCTGTTTTCATCGCGTAAACATTTTATAATGTTTTAAATGTTTAATTATGTTGATAGAAAGCCGAGATTGGGGTGCGCGGTGCCAGCGGACGGCGTTGTGCAATGACTCCTTCTGGGTCTTGTTGTTCTTTAAACGCCGTCATTACGGACATTAGGGGGGGGGGGACATTACCCACGCAGGTCTTATTAATGTTTCCCGTGGAATTCAGAAGATTTTGGGAGGGGTGGGGTGGAGTGGGGGGATGTGGGTCGGGGGGGGATAGGGGGTGGGCTTGGCAGGGTTTGTTGCCAATGGAAGGGCAGTGAGGGCACGGGAAGTGAGGGATACAAAGGCGGCCGGGCGTGGTGCTGGCCACCCACCCCTCGTGTGCCGTACTGCCCTTCATAGGTGCTGTTGCTCGCTAAAAGCCCCGACACTTGAAGACTGTACGGGGCGTGTGCGGGATTGGGTTCCATTACAAGCTTGCTACGCAAGTGAGCTGCTAGACCATCTCGAGGTGTTATCCGAGTGAGATATTTGAATTAAAAAAGACAACAACACAATGGGCACGACCCGGAAACCCGCCGTCGGGGAGCCGAACAGCAGAGCCGCGAGGCCCTCCGAGTCGGGAGCAGCGCTCCGAGTCGAGAGGAGCGCTCTGAGTCCGAGGGCTTGCAGCAGAGGGCCGAGCCTGGACAGACACCCCCCGCGTAGCGTCCGCAGACCGTCGGGGCGAGCGCCGTCAGCAAGCGTCTGCGACGGCCGGCACGGCACATCTCCGAGCCGATGTTTGTTTTAATGCTACACCGCGTGCTCGCTTAGGGTTGAGTCGACCTACGGGAGGCCCCAGACCACCGTGAGCGGGTATCGAACTCGGGTCTCTGCCAAGTTCGCGGTGCATGGACACACAGGCACGCACGACACTCGCCGCTCGAGTGAGGTGCGTGGAATCTGCCCTTGAGCTCATCCAATTAGGGCTCTGCTCATAATTGGCTTCTTTCAGTATCGATTCTCGCCATGATTACAGGAAGCTACGGTTTAAACGGCACCGGTTTATTGTTGTTAGCGGTGTAAATGTGTAATTAATTAATTAAATTGCCACACAATTAGCGGCGCGGATTCTCGGCGAGAGAGCAGCGGTGCGCGGAGAGGCGCCTGCCGGGAGTGACAGCGCGGGGCCGAGCGAGGAGCGCGCGGAGTCGAGAACGCACGCACACGCAGGTTGGCAGAGTGGAGGGGCACTGCGAAGGCTCGCGGAGGCCTCTATCCAGCAGTAGATAGATCGTGACCGACACGATTAACGGCGAGAGCTGCAGAACCCAAGCCCCGGCCGGCGGCGCCGGTTCATCACCGAGTCCCCTGCTCCTCCCGCCCCTCCCCCCGCCCCTCCCCCCGCCCCTCCCCCCGCCCCTCCCCCCGCCCCGTGTCCCCCCGCGAGAGGGCTCGTGATTTATTCATGTCAACGGCCGCTCACAAAAACCACGCGCACGCAAATATATATAAGTACGTTGACCCGGAGCCCTCGCGGCGTGCGGGCCGAGCCGCCCGCGGCCTCTCGCATCGCTCGCCGCGCCGCGGGTCTCGTTACCGTAAGCGGCAAACAGGCGCCGAAACGCAGAAATAATGAGACGTACGGCCGGGGGGGGGGGGTAGAGCGGCCCGCGACTGGCCTGCTCTGCGTACGTCGAACTTGTTTCGCACCGCACGGAGCCGACCGACCGAGCGGCCGGCGGACTGAGATTGCATGAAATGAAAATTGCGGCGGCGCGACATCGCGAGCGGGGGGAGCCGGCGCTGCCAACTCCTTCGCGCGGAAAGCCGTCAATCCAATCTCGAGCGGCTGCCACGTTAACCTCGCGAGGCTGCCGGGAGAAGATCGGGCACGGCCGGTCACAAAGTAGCGGAGCGGAGCGGCGTTGCTCGGCGCTCCCCGCCGCGGACACGGCGTTCAATCGCACGCCCATTTTTGATAATTTTGAAAACATTTTGCGGCGATAGAGGGTCCCTGGCGCGGCGCCGGGCACGCTCCCAGCCCCGCGTCGCGACCTCCTGCCAAGGAGGCGCTCGGCTCCTCTCATGGTTTTTTGTCGCGACACAAAACCTCAAGACAAAAACCACAGAGTTGGCAACGCTGAGTAGGAGGGGGGGGCAGGGAGTGGGGGGCAGGGCGAGGGGGGCAGGGCGAGGGGGGCAGGGCGAGGGGGGCAGGGCGAGGGGGGCAGGGCGAGGGGGGCAGGGCGAGGGGGGCAGGGAGTGGGGGGCAGGGCGAGGGGGGCAGGGCGAGGGGGGCAGGGCGAGGGGGGCAGGGAGTGGGGGGCAGGGCGAGGGGGGCAGGGCGAGGGGGGCAGGGAGCGGGGGGCAGGGCGAGGGGGGCAGGGAGTGGGGGGCAGGGCGAGGGGGGCAGGGAGTGGGGGGCAGGGCGAGGGGGGCAGGGCGAGGGGGGCAGGGAGTGGGGGGCAGGGTGAGGGGGGCAGGGAGTGGGGGGCAGGGTGAGGGGGGCAGGGAGTGGGGGGCAGGGCGAGGGCGGCAGGGAGTGGGGGGCAGGGAGAGGGGGGCAGGGAGTGGGGGGCAGGGAGTGGGGGGCAGGGAGTGGGGGGCAGGGAGTGGGGGGCAGGGAGTGGGGGGCAGGGCGAGGGGGGCAGGGAGAGGGGGGAAGGGCGAGGGGGGCAGGGCGAGGGGGGCAGGGCGAGGGGGGCAGGGAGTGGGGGGCAGGGTGAGGGGGGCAGGGAGTGGGGGGCAGGGTGAGGGGGGCAGGGAGTGGGGGGCAGGGTGAGGGGGGCAGGGCGAGGGGGGCAGGGCGAGGGGGGCAGGGCGAGGGGGGCAGGGAGTGGGGGGCAGGGTGAGGGGGCAGGGAGTGGGGGGCAGGGTGAGGGGGGCAGGGAGTGGGGGGCAGGGAGTGGGGGCAGGGTGAGGGGGGCAGGGCGAGGGGGGCAGGGAGTGGGGGGCAGGGCGAGGGGGGCAGGGAGTGGGGGGCAGGGCGAGGGGGGCAGGGCGAGGGGGGCAGGGCGAGGGGGGCAGGGCGAGGGGGGCAGGGCGAGGGGGGCAGGGCGAGGGGGGCAGGGAGTGGGGGGCAGGGAGTGGGGGGCAGGGCGAGGGTGGCAGGGCGAGGGGGGCAGGGCGAGGGGGGCAGGGAGTGGGGGGCAGGGCGAGGGGGGCAGGGAGTGGGGGGCAGGGAGTGGGGGGCAGGGAGTGGGGGGCTGGGCGCGCCGGTGGGTAATGCACTTGGCGTGCATGCCGTGAGGAGTTGGTGCAAAGCTGCGTGTGTCTGTGTGTCCGTCTTTCCGTGTCTATTTTTTCGTGTGCTTCTGTGTTACACGTGTCCGCCCGTGTGTACGTGACCGTGTTGACCCGTGCTTGCCTGTTCTAACTCGCATGCAAACCTTTCTGTGCTTTGCCGTGATATTCGCGTGTACGTAAGCGATCCTCCGACCTGCGTTTAGCGCGTACTCGTGCGTACCGGTGATCCGTGCGTACCTGTCGCCGTGGTAACCTCTGGTCCAGTTAGTGAGCTGGTGCACCTCTCACCTGCCCGTACCCGTGGTTACCCGCGATTGCCCGTGCGCTCGTGCATCCCCAGGTGAGCCCTCTGACAGGGCCGCGCGAGGGCGGCACGCTGGTGACGATCCGTGGGGAGAACCTGGGCCTGAGCTTCTCGGAGATCGGCCGCCACGGCATGGTGATGGTGGCAGGGGTGGCCTGCCAGCCGCTGCGGGACCTCTACATCCCCGCAGAGCAGTACGTGTGCATGTGCGCGCGTGTACGTGTGTGCGCGCGTGTGTGTGTGCGTGTTTGTGCGTGTGCACGTGTGTGTGTGTGTGTACGCGTGTGTACGTGTGTGTGTGTATGTACGCGTGTGTACGTGTGTGTGTGCGTGTGCGCGCGTGTGTGTGTGCGTGTGCACGTGTGTGTGTGTATGTACACGTGTGTACGTGTGTGTGTGTATGTACGCGTGTGTACGTGTGTGTGTGTGTGCGCATGCGTGTGTGACATGCTGGCCTTCATAGGTGCCCGCTAACAGCATGTTCAAGCTCGAGGGGGGATCTTTGTGTTTGCTTTGCGTGTGCAAGTGTGTGTGTGTGTATGTGCGCGTGTGTGTGTGTACGTGTACGCGTGTGTACGTGTGTGTGTCTATGTGCGTGTGTGTGTGTGCGTGTACGCGTGTGTACGTGTGCGCGGGTAGCGTTGGCGCAGTGTACCCCAGTTCGATTCCCGCTCATGGCCAACGTCGGTTACAAATTTTCGTACCGGTGCTGCGCCTTCCCTAGGTTTACTCAGCCTAAAATTAGTATCTGAAAGACATCAGCATTTCAGCACTGGGGAGACAAAGACAGCCGGATGTGGTGCGGCTACCCACGTTCTCGTGTGCTGTGCTGGCCTTAATAGGCACTCTCTAACTACACTTTCCCCAACAGCGTGTTAAAGGCTATGCGGGGGATCTTTGTCTCTGTGCGTGTGAGAGCACTTTTCCCAGTGAACTCGCCGTGACACGGAGGATCTAATTGAAGGCAGCGGTGCAATTTAATCCAATAAACCAAAACCCGCTCTGCCTGTTTGGACGCAATATTTTGACTCAATATCCCACCCGCAGTTCTCCTTCCGAGTTCGTAAATTGATTTAGAAGATGAAAAAAAAACCCAACCGAGGCTTTCATTTTTTGCGGCGGCGGCGTCGTTACGAATCGCTCCACGGCCAAACAAAACCAAGAGTGGCGATTCGACCTGGGCGCACTTCCCGCGGACGCTGAACTCAAAACGACGGTGACGTTTACGTGCGCACACAAAGTGACGCAAACCGCAATCGGCGTCGGCTGCGTCGTAACAGCAGCGGAAGATGTGCGGCGCGTTAATGGCCGCTTTTACTTACCCTCGATCCCCACGCCGTCACAATAGAGTGTCAGCTGCTGTCCGTTCGACCGGCCTGATGATAATTCGCCGCTCGCGGAAATCGATAAGTGGGCCGTGTCCGGCGTCGTCTTCTTCATTCCGCTGTGGGCGGCGGCGCGCTGCCCCGGCGAGGCGCGGTGTAATCGTTCCGAAATCCGATATTCGCCGGGAAAGGTCATGTTCCCCACCTCGGGACCCCCCTCGGGTCCCCCCCCCTCGTATCCCCCTCCCCTCCACCCCCTTCCACGCTCGTCCACGCTCGTCCACGCTCGTCCACCCCTCGCCGCTCTCACTTCGCTCCTCGAAACACTCGGCTGAACTCTCTGAACAAAGCGCCCCCCCTGCCGCCAGGGGTGCGGGCTCCAAACGGATCATTGTTCCCGCACGCACACACGCGTGTCTGTGCGTCTGTGTGCGTGTCTGTGTGTGTGTGTCTGTGTGCGTGTGTGCGTGTGTGCGTCTGTGCGTAGGGGAGCGGCGGTTAGCGCGATGCGCTACGAACCCGGCAATCCCAGTTCGATTCCCGCTCACGGCCAGTGACAATTATGTGAATCGGTCCTCAGCCTCCCCTAGGTCGACTCAGCCTTGAATGATTTCCTGGTTTGGTGTGTTAAACAATAGTGCTCGGGAGAGAAAAGGGGACTCATCGGTGCTCGCCAACAGCTCTTGCCCCACCAGCGTGTGTAGGCTACACGGGGATTGTTGTCTTTGTGTGCACGTGCTGCATTTTGTGCACAGCACACAGAAGCATGCACATCGATGCAAATGTTTTGACGCCCCTTTTAGCGGGCTGGAGACCAATGTGGCCTAGCCACATGATCGCTCACTTACCTGCTCACTGACTCACCTGCCCATCTTTTCAGCTACTCAATGACTCACGAGTTCCCCTGCCCACCTGTTCATGGCTCAGCTGCCCACGTACCTACCCGACAGGATACTAACTCACCTACCCCACAGTTTACTCTCTCGCCTTACACTCAGTCCCGGCAGCTCGCTAACTGACCTACTCACCCACCCACCCAACAGATCACTAGCTTCCTAAACAGCTCGCTGACTCACCAGCTTACTCACTCACCAGCTCACCAGCTCACTCACCAGCTCACTCATTCACCAGCTCACTCACTCACCAGCTCACTCACTCACTCACTCACCAGCTCATTCACTCACCAGCTCACTCACTCACCAGCTCATTCACTCACCAGCTCACCAGCTTACTCACTCACCAGCTTATTAATTCACCAGCTCACTCACTCACCGCTCACCAGCTCACTCACTCATCAGCTCACTCACTCACTTACTCACCAGCTCACTCACTCACCAGCTCACTCACTCACTCACCAGCTCACTCACTCACCAGCTGACTCACTCACCAGCTCACTCACTCACTCACCAGCTCATTCACTCAACAGCTCAGTCACTGACTCACCAGCTTACTCACTCACCAGCTCACCCACTCACCAGCTTACTAATTCACCAGCTCACTCACCGGCTCACCAGCTCACTCACTCATCAGCTCACTCACTCACTCACCAGCTCACTCACTTACTCACCAGCTCACTCACTCACCAGCTCACTCACTCACTCACCAGCTAACTCGCTCACCAGCTCACTCACTCACTCACTGACTCACCAGCTCACTGACTTACCAGCTCACTCCATCGACCAGCTTACTCACTCACCAGCTCACTAACTGGACCAGATCACCAGCTCACCAGCTCACTCACTCGAACCTTGACGTGTGCTGGGCTCTTGTGCAGAGTTTGCACCGATGTCTGGGCCCCCCCCCCCTCGTTTTGAAGTCTTCCCGCGGACAGCTTATTACATTATTTAGCTGCTTAGCTTTCAGTTTACGTCTCAGAGTCTCCGAGCATCTTTTATTTATGGCCAGTGTTGATATGTGTGCGATTTTAATGTTCTTTGAAACAGATACGCACAGATGTATTCCCCCATTCTTAAATGCACTCATCTGTCTCATAGATGTAAACAATAACAATTATAATGTGTTATCTAAAGGGCAATAATTGCCCGCTATTTATCCAGGACAGCTTAACCGAGTCTCAAGACTCGCCTTCAGGAGGGTCCTGCTCCTACTTCACTGGAATATTTGACTCCGCGTGGAAGGGAAAAACCGGAGACCCCGGAGACAACCCAGCAGGGGGGGTGGGGAGACGCTCAGAGCTCCGCACAGATAGATTCAATAATCCATTGCTGTACTACCATCTTATAGCGACCCTCGCAGCCCAATGCTACAGCTCTGGGTGCTTCCAGGTAGTGTCCCACCCACGTACTAACCAGGCTCAACCCGGCTTCTCTTCAAATATCTGATGAGATAGGAGAGTACATTCATCATCACCATCACCCATTATCTATCCACTGGTGCTGTAATGATGAGCACGTAATGATATTACTCGACTTGAAGTAGGGTATAACCACGTGTAGAGTAATGGGGTCACGTCACGCCTGCAACAATATAGGGGTGCTAACATTCACTACTCACCCACTCACCCTGCGTCGTGAATCCTGTGGGCAGGCTCGCAATCTGATGGTTGTGAGTTCACATCCTGACTGGGGGGGAGGGGAGGAGGGGATTTCACTCAGCTCATCATCTCTCCGGGGCGATAAAAATCAGCATCACCCTGTGGGCGGAGAGACTCGGCCCTTCCATAGGAATGTCGAATTCCCACCACCAGTGGCTCTGCATGGCTGTGAAGAGACGAGCCACGCTGGCTCAGAGTGTCGTCTCTCTCTCTCGAGCGGCAACCACTCAGTGGCTCTAATAGCGGGAGAGGGGATGGTGGTGCCGCGGGACCGCAAGGCAAAGGTCCACCCCCCCCCCCCCCACCTTCAGCTCCTTGCCCTTTCTCCTGCGGTGAGAGACGCTCCCTTGCGGTGACAGCCGTCGCTGCACAGTCTGGACGGATTCTTATTAATGTATTATTCGCTTTACCCACATTCCACTCAAATAGTTTGAAGTTTTTAATCGGTTGAGAGCCCAAATTTGCCGAATGCGAAGATTGCACGGCAAGCCGCTCAATTGGGATCGTGCGCGGAGCGGCGATCTCCGCTCGCCCACAGGCGGACTGACGCCCCCAGGGCGATCGCGCGGACGAGACTTGACGCTGGTCTCCTGAGTCCGCGCCCCGCCACGCGAACTCAACAGGAGAGCCTGGAGCCGCCGCCTCTCCGCTGCGCGCTCGCGACGTGCCACTCCGCGTCGTTCGGCACGGCGTCCGATGTTTCGATCCACGTGCCTAGAGCGTGAGCTCGCGAATCTCGCGCGCTTGGGTACCGTCGCGAGCGTCGGGATCGAGGCGCCTCGACGATAATGAGACCTTGACTACGATGAAGACGATGACAATGATGAGACCTTGACTACGATGACGACGATGACGATGATGAGACCTTGACTACGATGACGACGATGTCGCATCGACGACGATCCGCGAGGCGCGTTCTCACCGGAGCTTGTGCCACCACGCAGGATCGTGTGCCGGATGGCACGCGCTGACGGGCGGCACCAGGTTCGCGGGCACGCGCACATCTGCGTGGAGGAGTGCGTGGCGCAGTACATGGCTCTGTCCAAGCAGGTCTACACCTTCGTGGTATGTCCCGCACGCACGCACACCGCACGCCACACGGCACCACGTATGTAGGGTGCGGTGCCACGCGTGCGCACGGATTTTCCGGACCCCGTGGCTGGTGGGGGAGAGGTGATGAGTGATGGATGTTGGGGTCGAAGGGCGGTGGAAGCGGGGGGGGGGGGACGTGGGCCGGGTGCGAAGGGAGACGGAGAGGTGCTGGAGCGTGGGTGCGAAGGCGGCGGGTAAGGCAAGGACGCGTGATCTACGCGCGTCACAACCTCGATCGATGGCAATAACGCCAACGTCAATGGGCACGGGATTAAATACAGGCATGGATTTTTATAAAAACTGAAATCAATAACGGCATGCAGGTAATGTCTTCGGTTAAACCGCCACGTATAAATATTTCACAATCGCAGCGGAGCGGCTTGTGCTGGCAGGTGCCATCGGTCGCGCTGGCTCACCCTGCGCACCTCCTTCAGCTGTCGTCTCTCTCGCAGAAGCGTCTCGGATCCTCCACGGACCCTTTTGCACCGACCTCTCCATTCTCATCTCTCTCTGCTCCCCTCCACGCACTCTCCTACCTCTCATCTCTCATCTCACTCTGCTCCAGTAACCAAGGCTCTTAGTGGAAGCCCCTGGTCAACCTTCGCTCTGTGGGGGGTCGCTCATTCTCCTTTGCTGACCCCACAGTCTGGAACTCCCTTCCCGCAGCCATCCGTGCTGTCAGCTCCCTGCCCCCTGGTCAAGTTCTGGCTCCAGACCTTCCTCCTCTCCTCTGCCTGTGACCAACTGCTTCCCTCACACAGAGACCCATACACCCACACAGAGACCCATATACTCTCATAGAGGCCCATAGACTCACACGGAGACCCATACACCCACGCAGAGACCCATGGACTCTCATAGAGGCCCATAGACTCACACGGAGACCCATACACCCACGCAGAGACCCATGGACTCTCATAGAGACCCATAGACTCACACAGAGACCCATAGACTCATACAGAGACCCATAGACTCACACAGAGACCCATAGACTTACACGGAGACCCATAGAATCACACAGAGACCCATAGACTCACTCAGAGACCCATCGACTCACACAGAGATCCATACATCCACGCAGAGACCCATCGACTCACACAGAGATCCATACATCCACGCAGAGACCCATAGACTCTCAAGAGTCCCATTGACTCCCACGAATGGACATACAGAGCCATAGACCTATAAAATAAAAACACCTGACTCTTTCTCTACGATATGTTGACAAGCGGTTGCATTTGCACGCTGTGTAACTCCACGTCGTGGTGTATCGTGTTCCTGCATGGGGAGCAGCGGTGCAGCGGTTGGCACGCTGCGTGGTGCTGTGCACCCACCCCCTCCTCGTGTGCTGTGTCGACCTTCATAGGTGCTGCTCGCTAACAGCACTTGCCCCACCAAGACTACACTGGTTATCTTTGTCTTTGTGTGTGTGCCCCTCTGCCACCCCCCCACCCCCCCCCCCAGCAACCCGCGGTGCGCACGGTGGCGCCGGCGCGCGGCCCCGTGTCGGGCGGCACGCGCGTCTCCCTCCACGGAGTGCACCTGGACGCCGGCAGCGCGGTGCGGGTGGCGCTGGGCAACGAGAGCTGCGTGCTGCGCAGGTGACGGCGGCGAGGACGGCACCGCCGGATCAATCGGGGCGCTCGCCGGGCCCCGACGGGCGTCGTCGTGGAGACGGGAGGGAGCGTGAGCGTCGCCGCTGTTGCCGCCCGTGGTCAAATCGGTTTTTCGCGCGAAATGAGTCGACAGCCTTAGCCGGATTAGCCGGATTACACGTGGGGTCTCCCGAACCAGGCCCCTTGGCTACAGCGTCTCCACGGTGAGCGACGCCACCCCCGATCCGCCGTGCCGAGCACCCCGCCGGTGGTCGCCGCGCCACTCGCCACCGGAGCGGCCGGCAGCTTCCCTTTTGACCGGCGACCTCCACTCTGAAGATTGGCGGTCCCGTGAACTCTGACCTCGTCGCTTTTTACCCCTACCTCTGGCCACGTGACCTTTGGTCCCACAAATTCTGGCCCCGCCACTTCCTGCCTCGGTGACCCCCCGCCCCGTGACCCTTGCCCCCCGCGACCTCTGCCTCGACTTTCACGGCCGTGCCGCCAGCTTCCGAGGACGACGCGCAGCGGGGGGTCGCCGAGTGCCGCGGCGCACTCTGCCCAGGCCTGGCGGAGCGTTTACCGCTCGGCAATTACGGCCGTGCCGGCGGGACGCGACGCCGCAACGCTCCGGCTCTTGTTAGTCTCGGTCGCCCGGAGCAGATCGCTCGGCCTTTCCACTGGTGCGCGGTGACCGCTGTGGCGGTAATTGCTCTCCAGGTGTGATTTTTCCATTTGATTAGTGCGCCGAGCCCTTCGCCGTAATTAACCGTAACAGCTGCCAAAGTCCATTTTTCAAACGTGGACTAATTGGGGACTGGGGTTAAAAAAAGAGCAGCGCGAAAACATCGGCGCTGCCACCGACGCACGGGGCCGCCGGACGGCACGCTCCCCACGCCGCTGGAACAACGAGGATGCCGTGCCGATCCGTCGACCCGACGGCGAGCGCCGGGGAGCGTCGCCCCCTCCCGCTCGGTTCTGACACGACGCCGCTCGCCGACAGGGACCGCGAGCGCCGACCCGGGTTCGATTCTCGCGGAACTATCGGCCTCGCTGGCCCGCATGTAGCGCCATTCTCGGAGCAACAGGTGCTCGCCAGTAGCTCTCGTCAGCGCCACTCTGCTCGGTGTGAATAGAGAGGTCATGAACTTTGAACTCGGTCTCTGTGTGCGCGCGTTTGTGTTTGTGTCTGTTTGTGAATGTGTGCGGCTGTGTTTCTGTCTGTATCTGCGTCCGCGCGTGCGTCTGCGTCTGCGTGCGGCAGTCGGAGTGCGGGCGAGATCGTGTGCACGTCCGCGTGGGCGCCCCGCGGGCCCGACTTCGTCGCCGTCTCCGTGTCTCTGGACGGCGCCGAGCTGAGCAGCGCCCTCCGCTACGAGTACACCGAGGACCCCGTCGTGACGCGCATCGAGCCCGAGTGGACCATCACGCAGTACGCACACGCACGCGCGCACACAGGGCCAAAACGCTCGATCCCACACTGAAAATGAGATGGGGAGAACTCATTCGATGGAATCTCGGACAGCCGTCTGTTTATTTGAGCACACGTACACATACGCACTCACACGCGCCTCCATTAGATGCACGCGGTGGGAACGGCAGGCACAGCGGTTGGCTCGGTGCGCTACGAACCCGGCGACCCGAGTTGTATTTACTGCCACTGACCAGCGTGGTGAAGTATGGTCAAACAATCACCGGAGTGTCGATGGTCCTTGCCTCACTCTGCCATTGGGGTACTGAATATTGCGTTGAACCAATACTGCTGAAATGATGCACTGCCGGAAGGCCGTGTGGCTGACAGGATGTGTATAATTTAATGTGGGAAGGCGGCAGCGTATCATCATTACACAGCGGGGGGGGGGGGGGGGGGGGGGGCGGGGGGGGGGCCTTCATCCAGCAGTGGAGCGGCGGGCGCCGGGCGTGAACGGTGAACGCCGCGAGAGGCTCGAGCAAAATGAGGGCGGCGGCTCCGAGCGTGAACTCGTTCAACCCATCCCCGTCCCACTTGACACGGCTTCAAAGTGCACCTAGCCTGGCGTAACCTCGTCGAGACACCACCACCGATCGCCAGTGTTTGTAATGCGTTAGTGTGCGCGCGTGTGTGTGTGTGTCTTGTGTGGAGATAAAGCCGGCCGGCCACCCCCTCGCACCGGCCTTCATAGGTGCTCGCTAACAGCACTTGCCCCTACAGTCTGTTATGTCTACATGGGGGATCTTTGTCTTTGTGTGTGTGCGCGCAGTGGAGGAACGCTGCTCACGGTCACGGGCAGTAACTTGGGCACGGTCCAGGAGCCCAAGATGAGGGCCAAGTACAAGGGGGTGGAGAGCGTCGACGTGAGTGCTGCTGCCTCTCACCATCATCACATCACCACCATCACCATCACCACCATCATCACCACCATCATCATCACCATCATCACCACCGTCACATCACCATCACCACCATCATCACCATCAGCACCATCACCACCATCATCACCATCAGCACCATCACCACCATCATCATCACCATCACCACCATCATCACCACCATCAACATCACCACCATCATCATCACGATCATCACCACCATCACATCAACATCACCACCATCATCATCACCATCACCACCATCATCACCATCACCACCATCACATCACCACCATCACATCAACATCACCACCATCACCATCATCATCATCACCATCATCACCACCATCATCACCACCATCATCATCATCACCATCATCACCACCATCATCACCACCATCACCACCATCATCACCATCATCACCATCACCACCATCACATCACCACCATCATCACCACCAACATCACCATCACCACTACCATCATCACATCAACATCACCACCATCATCATCACATCAACATCACCACCATCATCACCACCATCATCACCATCATCACCACCATCATCACCACCATCACCACCATCATCACCATCATCACCATCACCACCATCACATCACCACCATCATCACCACCATCATCACCACCACCATCACCACCATCATCACCACCATCATCACCATCACCACCATCATCACATCAACATCACCACCATCATCACCACCATCACCACCATTGCTTGATATGGACATCGCGCCTCCCCCCATCGGTGCATGTCGAGGCGCCGAGCGGTAGTCTCGCCCAGGAGAACCCCCCGTGGCAGCTGCCGCTGTGTGGCCACGAGGTGAACGAGCGCCGCTCCGGCCTGCACGTGGGTCGTGTCCGCCAGTCGGGGCCGTGGTCGCCGCTCGCTCTCACCCAGTGGAGTCATTTGCGATGTCACTCACGGAGTTTGGCAACTTTGGACCGTGACTCCGACACGCGCACCACATTCTCTCTACACACAGATAAAGATCCTCGTATAGCCTTAACAGACTGTAGGGGCAAGTGCTGTTAGCGAGCACCTATGAACGGTACACGAGGGGGTGGGTGGCCAGCACCACGCCCGACCACCTTTGTCTCCCCAGTGGCGATGTTTGCACGCCGCACTGGCTACTCATTTGAGGCTGAGTCGACCTAGGGGAGGCTCAGGATCGGTTGAGATAATCGTCACTGGTGTTGGCCGTGAGCGGGAATCGAACTAGAGTCGTCGGGTTCGTAGTGATGCATAGAGCTAACCGCTACACACACTCACACCGCATGCAGATACACACACACAGACACATAAACATACACACACTCACACCACACACACCTAAACATACACACACTCACACCACACACACCTAAACACACACTCACACCACACACGTGGAAACACACACGCATGCACACACGTAAACACAAACACATATCCCCAAGGAGGTAAACAAACTCTCGGATAGCTTCACGCAGCCCTCCGCTAAGCACCGCTGCTGCGCACGAGGCCAGGAATTGTGCAGTTGATGGGCGACGACTTCCCCCCTCCATTCAGCTGAGTGGATCTGCAGCCCCCCACACCGCTCGTTTGCACAGGGAAACTTCCTTGACAGGCCGATGAGCCCCCTACTGTCTCAACCCTCCCCCCCAACCTCCACCCGCATCGCATCTGTCCGTCTGCCCGTCCCTCCGTGCGTGCGTGCGTGGGTGGGCAAGTGCTCGGTTTGCGGAGCGGCGGCACGGTGGTTAGCGCACTGAGCCGGCGTGTTTTTTGGCGACTGCTCTTCTGCAAAATGAGAAGTAGTTTGATTGAATTACAGTTGGATCCCACGCGTGGACTTAGAGATTCACTCCCGCTCACGGCCAACATCAGTGGCAAGTGAAATCCGAACCTCTCCCGTCCCTCCCCCAGGCTGACTCAGCCTCAAACGAGCACCCAGTACGGTTTGTAAACATCAACGCAGGGTCTGGCCTTAACAGGTGCTCGCTGACGGCACTGGTCCCAGCGGTCTGCTTAGTCGGCTACACGGGGGGCGGTCTGCTCAGACTGTGCGTGTGCGTGGTTGGTAAACGGCACAGCTTGCGAGTGTTCACCCCTCCGACAAAAACCACGACCTTAACCCTCCCCTTCATGGCTGCTTTCAATTTCGCCGGCGCCCGTCTCTGCCGTGAACCACCGCCGGGGGAACCTTTGCCCGGAGCCGGCGCGACGCGGGCGGCGGTCCCGGCATCGTCGCCGGGAACCCCCCGGGAGGAGACGCCGGACCCTACCGGGCCGGCACGGTTAACCGTGCCCGCCCGGAGGCCCGGGCTGTGTTGGCGCTACCTCCACCGCCGCCGGGTGAACGGTTAAACAAACATTTTGGCGTAATAATTAAACCCTTGGAGAGAGAGGGAAAGGTTGTGAGGCGTGCGGGTGGGCGGGGGGCGGGGGTGGGGGGTGGGTGCGGGGGTGGGTGGGTAGGGGGGTGGGAGCGGGTGGGTGGGGAAGTGGGTGCGAGGAGCAGCGGTGCCGTCACCGCGTGTCTGACCGCGCCGGTCGTGTTCGCCGTTTGCAGCCGCCCTAATTATTTTCATCGCCGCCGTCCCCGCTTGATCGTTCCCACGGTGCATAAATAAATCATCCCCTACGCCGCGCGCCCGTAATTGTTGATCTTCCACGAGACATGATGGCATTCTGCTGCAAAGCTTCACACCCCGCCCCCCCTCCCCCCCGCCGTCTCCGCCACCCATGGCCCTCGCTCCTCCTCCTCCGTGCGGGAGGCGAGCAAACGTCGTGGAGCAGCGGCACGTGGATCCCCCGCTGTGTAGATGGTGACGCGGAATGGAGCGGCCCCACGCCCCCCCCACGCCCCCCACGCCCCCCTCTAGGCGCCCCTTGCTGCCAGGCAGGATAAAAGATGCTGCCCAAGCTGCTGCATCGGTACTCTTCCACAGGGAACGCTCCGGGGGATTTAAAATGTCGCGGAGTTCACGCGAGGATGGGTGGATAACACCTAACTCCAAGTCTGAACTTGATCCTAACTAGTGACCCCTAACCCCACAGACTTGCACCGTGTTCAACGAGACGACGCTCATTTGCCGTGCCCCGGGCATCGAGTTCAACAGCCCTGGTCCCCTGCCAGCGGAGACCGGTGATGGAAGCTCGTCGTCGTCGTCGTCAGCATCGTCGTCTTCGTCGGCTGCGTCGCTACCCATGCTGGCGCCCGTGCGCCCCGACGAGCTGGGGTTCATCTTCGACGACGTGCGCTCGCTGCTCGTCTTCAACGCTTCCGAGTTCTACTACCACGCCAGCCCCACCTTCGAACCGCTGGGTCACGACCCCCTGGACATCAAGCCCGGCTCGCCCATCATCCTCAAGGTGAGCGCGACACCTCCGCCGTCTCACGGGCGCCGCCCGCGGGGGGACATGGCAGGTGCCGTGTCCCCGCACGGGCGCCGCCCGCGGGGGGACATGGCAGGTGCCGTGGCGGGATCTCCGTGGAGTCATTGGCGGTGCAGTTTTTTGGGATTTGGCAAATTTGGACGGGGACGCCGGTGGCACACGATGGCCAACTCTTGCGGTGGCGTCACGAGATATTTAACGTCCGCAGTACACACCACGGCATTAACCAGGGTGGCCTGCCGCGTTCAAACCGCGAGCCTCTGCGACGAGCGGCGAACGCGCTGCCGCCGGGCCACCGCGTCACCAGCCCAATGCACGTGCGTGGATGCGTACACGCACGTGCGTGCGTGTTTGTGTTGTTTCACACGTGTGTCTTGTTTTACGTGTGCGCGTGCGTGCTGCCATCGCGCGCTCAGGGCCGGAACTTGATGCCGGGCCCAGCCGGGGGGCGGCTGAACTACACGGTGCTCATGGGGGACGCGGCATGCGCCGTCACCGTGTCCGACACCCAGCTACTGTGCGAGTGCCCGGCCCTGTCGGGCCACCACATGTTGACTGTGAGGGCCCACCACTATTACCAATACCACCACCAATACCACCACCAATACCACCACCAATACCACCACCAATACCGATACCACCACATGTTGACTGTGAGGGCTCACCACTGCCACCGCTATTACCAATACCACCACCACCACTACCGATACCACCACCACTACCACCACCACCACTACCGATACCACCACTACTACCGATTTCACCACCACTACCGATACCACCACCAATACCACCACCACGACCGATACCACCACCACCAACAGCACCATCACCACTACCGATACCGCCACAACTACCTCCACCACTACCACCACCGACACCACCACCACCACCACTACCGATACCACCACGTCCACCACCAACACCACCACCACTACTGATACCACCACCTCCATCACTATCACCGACACCGTCACCACCACCACCCGACACCTCCACCACCACCATCATCACCACACAAAAACTCACGCACGGCTGCCTGCCCACTGACTCGCACGAACCTCATCGTACTCATTCGCCGTGACCCGTGGGACAGGTGCGCGTGGGCTCGCTGGAGCAGGCGGTGGGGCGCGTGGGGCTGGTGCACGACAGCCTGCTCACGCTGCCTGCCATCGTGGGGCTGGCGGCGGGCGGCGGGCTGCTGCTGCTGGTCGTGGTGGGCGTGCTCGTGGCGTACAAGCGCAAGTCGCGCGAGAGCGACCTCACGCTCAAGCGCCTGCAGCTGCAGATGGACAACCTGGAGTCGCGCGTGGCGCTCGAGTGCAAGGAGGGTGAGCGACCGCCCGGCACCGCGCGGCGGCGGCTCGTCTCTCGCGCAAATATCGCCTCGATTTTTTACTCCCATTGCCTAGTGGCGATGACAGTCGTCGTCGTGCCGGTTGTCAAACTCCAGCCGTTGCTGTTGTTGACGCGGCGGTTGCGGCCGTGGTTGCTGTTTGCGGCGGTGGCGGTGCAGCGTTTGCGGAGCTGCAGACCGACATCAACGAGCTGACGAGCGACGTGGACGGCGCGGGGATCCCCTTCCTGGACTACCGCACGTACGCGCTGCGCGTGCTCTTCCCCGGCATCGACAACCACCCAGTGCTCACCGTGCTCGAGGTGCCGGCACGGCCCCCACAGCCACCCCATACCCACATCCACCCCGCACCCACCGCACACCCACCGCACACCCACCCCGCACCCACCACGCACCCACCACGCACCCACCCCACACCCACCCCACACCGCACCCACCCCACACCCACCACGCACCCACCACGCACCCACCCCGCACCCACCCCGCACCCACCCCGCACCCACCCCACACCACACCTACTCCACACCCACCTCACACCCACCTCACACCCACCCCACACCCACCCCACCACACACCCCACACCCACCACACACCCACCCCACACCCACCCCACACTCAAGAACAGCTGTGCATCACGGCTGTTCTTGGTGTCGTGGTGTAGCGGTTAGCACGCCACAAACCCTGCGACCCGAGTTCCATTCCCACTCACGGACACCAGTGGACTACCCTAGGTCGACGAGTACCTAGTGCGGTGTCTCCCCACCGGGGAGACAAAGACGGCCGGGCGTGGTGTCGGCCTCACCACACCCACGTGTGCCGTTCCGGCCTCCGCAGCCGCTCGTCATCAGCGCTCACCCCAGCGGTCTGCGTGGGCTACGCGACGGCGGGATCTGCGCTCGTCCGTGCGTTCACACCGCCACCCTCACCCGCGCGCGTGTCCCCAGGTGCCCGGCAATCGGCACGAGTGCGTGGAGAAGGGGCTGCGGCACTTCGGCACGCTGCTGGGCAGCAAGGTGTTCCTGCTGGCGTTCGTGCGCACGCTTGAGTCTCAGCGCGCATTCTCGATGCGCGACCGCGGCAACGTGGCGTCGCTCGTCGCCACGGCGTTGCAAGGCAAGATGGAGTACGCGACCGACGTGCTCAAGCAGCTACTCTCCGACCTCATCACACGCAACATCGAGAGCCGCAACCACCCCAAGCTGCTTCTGCGAAGGTGACGCGCGTTCCCCTCCTGCACCGCGTTCAAACCACCACACTGCAGGTCACCACAGCACACTCACCCACTAACTCCACTCGCCCACCCACCCTCTTACTCACCCACTCATTCACCCACCCACTTACACACTCACCCCCTCATCCACTTACACACTCACTCACCCACTCACCCACTCACCCACCTACCCACTCATTTACCCGCCCACCGACTCACCACACTGCAGGGCACAACACTTTCTGCTTCTTCCCTCGCGCCATTCCACTCTGGAATTCTTTTCCCCAGTCATCGTCATCTCTTTTCACAAAGCCGCGTCGCTCCGTTTCCCCGGTCGCTCCGTCTCCCCCGTCGCTCCGTCTCTCCCGTCGCTCCGTCTCCCCCGTCGCTCCGTCTCTCCCGTCGCTCCGTCTCTCCCGTCGCTCCGTCTCCCCCGTCGCTCCGTCTCCCCCGTCGCTCCGTCTCTCCCGTCGCTCCGTCTCTCCCGTCGCTCCGTCTCTCCCGTCGCTCCGTCTCTCCTGTCGCTCCGTCTCCCCCGTCGCTCCGTCTCCCCCGTCGCTCCGTCTCCCCCGTCGCTCCGTCTCCCCCGTCGCTCCGTCTCCCCCGTCGCTCCGTCTCCCCCGTCGCTCCGTCTCTCCCGTCGCTCCGTCTCCCCCGTCGCTCCGTCTCCTCCGTCGCTCCGTCTCCCCCCGTCGCTCCGTTTCCCCCCGTCGCTCCGTCTCCCTGCGGCAGATTGTGCTCGCTCGTGCTGGGTCTCACCGGGCAGCAGGGTATCAATTACGCCAGATGGGGCATCGCCCCCTTCGAGGAGCGGAGGGTGGGGGGGGGGGCATGGCAGGGGTGGGATGTGGGGGGGTCAGGGAGGATCGTGGGGGGCACGTCTCCACCCACGCGGCACGGGAGCGAGCGCCTCTCGTTAATGACCGAGGGTTTTAGTTGTGCGCAGACTTCGCGATGGAAACGCCTCGCGCGGGAACAAGAGCGTGAGGGTCCACCAGGGGGAAAGCTTCATCCAGCAGTTGATTGATCATGGCTAACGATGATGATCATCCCGGGCTGCCCTTCATCTATGGGTGGATTGTGCAATTCACGACAACGATAGGGGGGAGTCGTTCATCCAGCAGTGGATGGAACATGGCTAACAATGCGGCTGATCGGTGCCGTGAAGGCTGGGGGTGAGGGGCTAACGAGGCCACCGTGGATCCCGTACACAGCGGTCACGGGGTTACTAGTTGTGGGGTGCAGTGGAGTGGTGGGGGGCAGAGAGCACGCATCATTATTGTTTTTATATTTCAATTAATTAAAAAAACCCATTTCTCCCGCCCCCACGTGCCTACACAAGCAATTACCGCAATCCGTGATTAGCGGCGTGGCGCTCGGCTCGCCGCGTGGTTCTCTGATTAATGGCTGCCGCCGCTCGCAGCTTTCCATTAAATATTCATTTGCCCATCAGCGGCGCTCGTTCGGCCGCCGTCCTTGTTGCTGCGCTGCTGCCCGCCGGCCGTGGCCTGGCTGCCCCCTTCCGCGCGCCCCGGCCATCCACCACCGGCGCCTTCCCAGTGGCCTCTTTGCACGACGGCGGCTCGCGGGAACACAGAAAACAAAGTAATTCTTATCGGGGGGAGGAGGGCTGTGGTGTTTTTAGTGCAGCCTGCACGCTCACCGCCGCTCTGTCTCTCCGGCCTCTCTCAACGCGGCGTCATTGACGGCCGTGTTGAGGTTTTCAACAACAAATGGCGCGGTTGTTGAACGCTCGCGCTGTGTCGTCATTCATTTTGTTTGGCTGCGTTGGGTGGTGGAGGGTCTTAATGATACAAATTGGGCCAGGTCACCACCTGCAGGTGAGACGGTGCAGGTGAGACGGTGCAGGTGAGACGGTGCAGCAGCACAAATCAGTGATGAACTCGAGTCACGACCCCAAATAGGTAAGGGGGGATGTGGGGGTGGGGGCTCAGCCTGAACCCCGAGACGCCACCCAGGTCGTCGGTGCATGCACGTGCGTGTGTGTGTACGTGTGTGTATACGTGCATGTGTGTACGTATGTGTGCGCACGTGTGTGTACATGTGTGTGCACGTGTGTGTGTGTGTGTACATGTGTGTGCACGTGCGTGTGTGTACATGTGTGTGTGTACGTGTGTACGTGTGTGTACGTGTGTGTACGTGTGTGTGCACGTGCGTGTGTGTGTGTACGTGTGTGTGTGTGCGCGCATGTTTGTACGTGTGTGTGCGCGCGCATGTGTGTGTGCGTGTGTGTGTGTTTGAGTGTGTTTGAGTGTGTTTGCGGAGCGGTAGGGTAGCAGTTAGCGCACTGTGCTACGAACCTGGCGCCCCGGGTACAATTCTCGCTCACGGCCAACACCAGTGACGATTATCTGAACTGGTTCTGGGCCTCCCTTAGGTCGACTCAGCCTCAAATTATGTGTAAACATCACCACGAGGGAGACAAAGACGGCCGCGCGAGGTCTTGGCCACCCATCCGCTCGTGTGCCGTGCCGGCCTTGATAGTAACTTGCCCCTACAGTATGTTACAGGCTATACGGGAGATCTTTGTGCGTGAGATAAGAGGTGCTCGTCACGTGTGAGGGTGGGGAGTGGATTGGGGGGAGTGATGAAGGGGGCCACCCACTCGGCTCAAATCGCGGCACGTGTGGGCCGGCCCTCGCCGCTGCTCATTACCCACAATCCTCTTCTCTTGATTGGCTCAATTTGTAAATCGCAGCGGGTTTTGTTGAAACCCATCATCTCGGCCGGGATTACCATCATGCTGCCCCTGTGGGGAGCGGCGGCGCAGGGGTTAGCGCGCTGTGCGATGAACCCTCCGTCACCGACTTACACACTGACCGGCGTGGTGGAGTGTGGCACAACGACCCCGCACGGCGTGGGGAAGCCTTCCCCCAGCAGTTGATTGATGAAGGCCCGTGAATAATAATGGTCACATTGTGATTTTCTTCTCAATTTAGCATTTGCAATGCACCACCATCATCCTAAGCAGCAGCCTCCATCTATCTATTACTGGATGAAGGCAATTCGATTATTCTAAATCCAAATAACTAAATTCTGTATTAAAATAAAAAGCGAATTAAACAAGGTTTAGAGGAGATTTTCGGCCTTCCTCAGAGGGAGCTGCTCTCTGCTGCACAGAGCCGTGCCCTGTTCGGGGGCCACAGCCGGCTGGCTTGATTCGATTTCGGCATGGACACAGCGAGTCCGTGCCAAGCCACGCATCACCGAGCACTCCGTTAACCAGGGCGGCCGTGCCAGCCGTGGGAATTCATTCGCCATGCCCCCGGCAAAACCGCCGATTTTCCGCTTCTCATTGGCAGGAGCCGGACACGGGTTTAGTGACTTATCTCTTTCTTCAATCTTCTCTCTCACTCTCTCTCTCTCTCTTTCCATCTCTCACTCTCTCTCACTCACTCTCTATCTCTCTCTCTCTCACTCGCAGTCTCTCTCTGTCTCCCGCTGTCCCTCGCCCGCGCACTCCCTGCCAATGATATTTCCCTGCCACTCGTGCTTGACAGTGGCCTAACGGGCCGTGGTGGTGGCTTTGTTTCTTGCAGCTCGATGTAAATATTGGTATGGGTTAGATTAAACAAATTTGTGTTTACTGTATTAATCAAAATCATGGTCATCATCATCGTTAGCAGCAGCAGCCACGGTCAATCCACTGCTGCGTGAGGGCTCCCCAAGCCGTCGCCACCTCTAATGGTTCTGCCTCTACACAAACCGATTGCATCGCTCCATCTCCGCAGCGGCACGATCACGGAGCGCCATGCGCGTCGTTGACGATCGTTGCCCTTGACAGGCGTCGTTTCGGGAGCGACTCTGCGTGAGAGTCAGCTGCTGTTCACTCGAAGTCGACGACCTCGATGGAGCTCCATCGAGTCAATGACCTCCCCACCTTTGTCTCACCTGCTGGCCCTGTCTCTCTCTGTCGCTTCCGCAGGACCGAGTCTGTCGCTGAGAAGATGCTCACCAATTGGTTCACGTTCTTACTGCACAAGTACCTGAAGGTCAGTCCTCAGCATCTTGGACGGGGCGTGTGGGGAGGTGAGCGAGCGAGCGAGTGTGTGGAGTTTGTATGTTCTCTCTTTCTGCCCCTGTTCTGCGTGGGTTTGCTCCGGTTTCCTCCCACAGCTAAACCCCACACTCACAGTGGAACTGGCATGGCCCAAAAATCCCAATGCTGAAAAAACAATGAACCTGCAAATCACTGAATTTGGACCAGCAGCATACCCCCCCACCCTCTACTGCGAAAACTTGGCAGGACCCTCCAGAAAACGAGTCTCAGCGAGGCGAGGCGTTCCCGAATGAGCAGAATCATCGCCACAACGATGATGGTGCCCCCCGTGACCCGGCGACCCCTCCCCCACCGTCCTCGTGCACCGCCTGCACCAATCACGCAGGGGTCACGCACATCGTGCCGCCATCGTCACGCGGGAACAACAGGGAAAACAAGCGTTTCCGAGTAACCACGTACGCAGTCGCGACAGCGGCAATAACACAGCAATAACGATACCAGCAGTAACAATATGCAAATTGGTGATTAGTGATCGTAGTGAGGGGGCTGGTGGTAGTCATGGCAGCAGCAGCAGTAATGCCACCGGCTGGCTGAGTAATCAGCTGGACCTGAGGCAGGCAAACCGGCCATGCTTAACGAACGCGACATTCAATTGCATGGGGAGGGGGTGGTGTTGGGAAGGAAGGGTCGTGACCACAATTGCTCACGAGCTATCTCCACCATCAACAATGTCCTCGCTCGCTCGTTCAGCCATCCACCCACTCAGCCACTCAGCCACCCACCCACTCAGCCACCCACCCACTCAGCCACCCACCCACTCAGCCATCCACCCACTCAGCCATCCACCCACTCAGCCATTCAGCCACTCAGCCACCCATCCACTCAGCCACCCACCCACTCAGCCATCTACTCAATTCAGCCATCCACCAACTCAGCCATCCACCCACTCAGCCACTCAGCCATTCAGCCACTCAGCCACTCAGCCACCCACCCACCCACTCAGCCATCCACCCACTCAGCCAACCACCCACTCAGCCACTCAGCCACTCAGCCACCCACCCACTCAGCCATCCACCCACTCAGCCATCCACCCACTCAGACAATCAGCCACCCACCCACTCAGCCATCCACCCACTCAGCCACTCAGCCATCCACCCACTCAGCCATCCACCCACTCACCCACTCAGCCACCCACCCACTCAGCCAATCAGCCACTCAGCCACCCACTCATACATCCACCCACTCAGCCATCCACCCACTCAGCCACTCAGCCATCCACCCACTCAGCCATCCACCCACTCACCCACTCAGCCACCCACCCACTCAGCCAATCAGCCACTCAGCCACCCACTCATACATCCACCCACTCAGCCATCCACCCACTCAGCCACTCAGTCATCCACCCACTCAGCCATCCACCCACTCAGCCATCCACCCGCCCGCTTGCCTCACTTGTCCAAGGATGTTTTTGCTTTCCCTTTGTCCCATTCACTCGGTCCTCTACTTGCTCATCCACCAACTCAGGCACTCACCCTTCTCGCTCGTCCACACGCCCGCTTCTCGCTCATCCACCAGCCAGCTATTTTGTCCATTTGCTCGCTCGCCCACGACGCGGCTCGTCCACTGACTCGTACGCAAGCCCACTTTGCTCACCCATCCGCTCGCTCCTTTTCACCATCAGCTTTCTCCACCGTGTCCCCTAATCGGTTGTTCTCTTGTCCACCAGCTCCACTCTCTAATTCACCCACTTTCCACCTTGTCCACCCTCTCACCCCCGTGTTCATCTGTTCGCTTCTCCACTATCTCTCTCGCCCAAACTGCTCGCAGATTCATTCATCCGACCACTCGCTCCCTCATCCACCCTCGCACCCCATTGTTCGCCCGCTCACTCACCGTCTGCTCAAGGAATGCAGGCAAGGGAGGGGGGCGAGTGAGTGAGTGAGATCCCAGTGAGGGGTTCTGCACCGCTGCGATCAAAAGATGTTTTGTGGCAATTATCATCCAGCCAAACAATGAGCCCATTTTAAAAAAACGAATCGGGGTTGATAGCGCGAGGCTGCACCCTTCATGTGGCCATTAAAGGCCTTTCATTGCCTCTCACGCCGTCTCCCTTTGCAAGTAATCTCATTTTCACATCTCCCACCGCATCTCCGTAATGCTGCCCTGCGCCTTTCTCCCTCCCGTCCGCCGCCGCCGCCGCTCCCGCGTCATTGCATACCTAAGTAATTGCTTCCTCGCCGCCCGATCCGCCGTATAAATCATCCTATTCATTCCGCCGCGTTTGCCCCGTTATTTATTTTTTCTCTCTGCTCACCCGTCCGGCCGCCCGGGCCGTTTATCACCGGCGGAGAGAGAGGAGACGCGCCGGAGTGGGACGCCGCGACGTAGCAAGTAATCGGATCCTTTACCGATTACTCTGAACCTCTACCGATTACACTACAATTACCCTTCCGATTACTCTGAACATTACTCTGCAAATTACTTTAGTGATTACTTTAACGATTACTCTGAGATTACTCTTCCGATTACTTTATCGATTAGAGAACCATAGTCATGCATAGACACTTACATACTTGCTTAGAAACCGTTCAACGGGATAATAATAATATGTCCTCGGAGGAGGCGCGGTTTGGTTTGGAATGGCTTTGGCTGAAGTCCAGCCGTGAGAATCGGGCCGCCTGGGTTGGGTACCTTGTGATGAATACATAATTGTCGTACTGGCCGCTGATCTGAGCCGTGGCTGGCAATTGAACTCGGGTTGCTGCGACCGTAGCGCAGTGCGCTAACTGCCGCTCCACCGTTCTTCAAGCACACAACAGACAAAAGATCCCCAGAATAGCCTCTCAAGGCCTCGTTTGGGGCAAGTGCTGCTCGCGAGCCCCGACAAAAGTTGGCACGCCACACGGGGGAACAGGTGACCAGCACCACGCCCGGCTGCCTTGGTCTTCCCAGTGTTGAGTAAACAATGAAGCAGGTACTCATTTAATGCTGAGTCGATGTAGGGTAGACCCAGGACCAATTCATATATTTGCCACCGTTATTGGACTTGAGCGGCAATCAAACTCGGGTCGCCGGGTTTGCAGCGCAGTGCGCTAACCACTGCACCACTACTCCCCACACACACACGTACACACGTGCATGTACACACAAATACACGATGATGATTTAAAAGATAATTTCTCCAAGTGCCTCAGTTGCAAAGCACAGCTGAGGAGTCGTCACCATTAGCAATGTCACATTAATATTGTACTCCATTCAATGTCTTCTTTACATGTTCCAGTGCTTTGAGATAATGTAGTTTTAACATTACATTACATTTAAATATGATTTCATTCATGACTTCTCCTAAATTGCATATGTCGGAGACAAAAACTAATCCCAGTAATTCACTACCTCAAGCTTAATAAGTAACAATTAAAATGTTGTATTTTATTAATTTGAGCCCAAGAAATATCTTGTCTCGGCGGTGGAGCAGAGGCGCAGTGGTTAGCGCACTGCGCTACGAACCCGGCCTCCTGGGTTCGATTCCCACTCACGGTCAACACCAGTGACGATTATCTGAACTGTTCCTGGTCCTCCCCTAAGTAGACTCAGCCTCAAATGTGTGGTACTCGCTAACAGCACTTTCCCCAACGGTCTGTTAAGGCTCTATGGGGGATCTTTGTCTTTATGTTTGTGTGAGTCAGTGAACATGACAAGGTTTCATATGGGTACTTTGTGTGTTCACAATTCGTATCCCACCATCCCACCACGACCCGGGCTCAACTGCGTGGATGTGCATGCGTGGATGTGCGTCCGTGCGTGCGTGGATGTGCGTGGATGTGCGTGCGTGGATGTGTGTGCGTGCGTGGATATGCGTGCGTGGATGTGCGTCCGTGCGTGCGTGGATGTGCATGGATGTGCGTGCGTGGATGTGTGTACGTGTGTGGATGTGCGTGCGTACATTGTTCGGCAACCGAGATGACACGGCAGCCCCTGCCGTGCGTCGTCGCGTGACGGGGGCCGCAGGGCCGCGTGGCGTAACGAGAGGGGGCGGACGAACAATGTTCAGCGATCGTTCCTCGCCCGCGTAAGCATGTGCGTGTGGTGGGCGCGGCTCTCATCGTGCGGGCGGTCAAGCGTGCGTGTCCGTGTTCATACTCTTGTGTGCGCGAGCGTGATGACCACTCCTGTGTCCGCCCGTCTGCATCCACCAGAGTGGCTGCTTGTCCACGTGCATATCTGTGTAGGTGTGTATGTGTGTATGAGTGTATGTATGTGTATGCATGGTTGTGTATGTGTGTATGCATGTGTGTGTATGTGTGTGTATGTGTGTATGTATGCGTGTGTATGTAAGTATGTATGTGTGTGTGTATGCGTGTGCAAGTGTGCGTGTGTATGTATAGTGCAGCAGCAAGCGCACTGCTTAATGAACCTGGTGACCCGAGTTGGATCCACGTTCATGGCCAACACCAGTGATTATTATCTTAACTGATCCTGGGCCTCCCCTAGGTCGACTCAGCCTGAAACGAGTACCTCGTGTGGTGTGTAAACATCCACATCGGGGAGACAAAGGCGGCCAGGCGTGGTGCTGGTCACTCACCACTTAGTGTGCCGTGTCCGACTTTCACAGGTGCTACTCGCTAACAGCACTTGCCCCAACAGTCTGTTAAGGCTATACGAGGACCTTCGTCTTTGTGCATGCTTGTGCAGGAGTGCGCCGGCGAGCCCCTCTTCATGCTCTACTGCGCCATCAAGCAGCAGATGGAGAAGGGGCCGATCGACGCCATCACGGGCGAGGCGCGCTACTCGCTCAGCGAGGACAAGCTCATCCGCCAGCAGATTGACTACCGCACCCTCGTGAGTCCAACTCGACTCAGTCGTGGCCGAGATGATGGTGGTGGCGACGATGATGGCGACGATGGCGGTGGTCGCCGTGGTAATGCAGTAGGTAGAGATAGTGATGCTGGTAGTGGGCTGCCCTACGAACCCGGCGACCTGAATTCGGTAAACACCAGTAAACCAGTTTTGGGCCTCCCCAAGGTTGACTCAGCCCCAATGAATAGCTAGTGTGGTGTGTAAACACGTTGCAATGGTGGTAATAATGATGGTGATGGTGGTGTTGGTAACGATGATAGCAGATGACGACCACGATGATGACGTTGATAACATTGACGTTGATGACAATTACAAAGCAACATTTTCCGGTGGTGATAAGTGTGTTGATGATGGTAGAGGTTGTAAAAATTATGGTTTTGAAATTCATGATGTTTCTGATGATTATGATGCTGATAATGTCGCCGGTGGTGGTGACGACGGCATTAGTCATCCTGATATTGAGAGCAATGCCGTCGGCGGCAGTGTTGTTGACGACGGTGATCGTGCACCCGTCACGACGACGGCTGCGCACGCGCTCCCTCTTGCCCGGCCGACAGACGCTGAACTGCGTGACCCCGGAGAGCGAGAAGAACGTGGAGGTGAGCGTCAAGGTCCTCGACTGCGACACCATCACGCAGGTCAAGGAGAAGCTGCTCGACGCCGTCCACAAGAACGTGCCCTACTCCCAGCGGCCCAAGGCCATCGACCGCGACCTCGGTGAGGCCCCGGCCGTCTCGTCCGGGAACTGCGCGCATCGCGTGGAGGAGCTGGCCAGCAGATGATGGGGAGAAGTTAACGTAGCGGTGGATAGATCACGGCTCGCGATGACGACGATGACGATGACGGTGGTGGCGTGCGGTGGTGGCGTGTGGTGAGCAGAGTGGCGACAGGGCCGCATGGGGCGCGTGATCCTGCAGGACGAGGACGTCACCACCAAGATTGAGAACGACTGGAAGCAGCTCAACACGCTCGCGCACTACCAGGTGACACTCACACACCACGTGGTGAGACACACCACGTGGTGTGAGAGACACACCACGTGGTGTGAGACACACACCACGTGGTGAGACACACACCACGTGGTGAGACTCACACTACGTGGTGACACTCACACCCCACGTGGTGACACTCACACCCCACGTGGTTAGACTCACACCACGTGGTGAGACTCACACCACGTGGTGAGACTCACACCATGTGGAGAGACTCACACAGAGTCATAGACCCACACATGGAGATGTTGGCTAAGCTGAACTGGGACGATCTTGGGGGAAGTGCCAAGTGTAGTGGCTCCCGCAAACGTGGGTCGAGCGTGGGTCCAGTGTGGGTCGAGCGTGGGACGAGCGTTGGTCGAGCGGGCGGTGCGTGCGCTGTTGCCGTAGGTGGCCGATGCATCCACGGTGGCGCTGGTGCCCAAGCAGACGGCATCCTACAACGCCGCCAACTCGCTGCTCTCGCGCTCCGTCAACAAGTATGGTGAGCATCAGCCAGGGTACCGGCCAGGGCACCAGCCAAGGTACCGGCCAGGGTCCCGGCGACCACCAGCGAGCAGAGTGCCGGCGCTACGTCCGTGCGCCGTGCGCTGGGTGCGTGGGGACCAGAAAGAGGCTCCGAGCACCTCGTTTGGGTGCGCCGAGCACACGGTGGTTTGTTTGGCAGCGTTGGTTTTAGTGTTGTTGGTGTTGGTGGTAGTGTTGGTGGTAGTGTTGGTGGTTGTATTGGTGGTTGTATTGGTGGTGGTTGTATTGGTGGTTGTATTGGTGGTGGTAGTGGTGGTTGTATTGGTGGTGGTAGTGTTGGTGGTGGTAGTGTCGGTGGTGTATTGGTGGTTGTATTGGTGGTGGTAGTGTTGGTGGTGGTAGTGTCGGTGGTGTATTGGTGGTAGTGTTGGGGGTGGTAGTGTTGGTGGTGTATTGGTGGTAGTGTTGGTGGTGGTAGTGTTGGTGGTGGCAGTGTTGGTGGTGGTAGTGTTGGTGGTGGTGGTGGTGTATTGGTGGTAGTGTTGGTGGTGGTAGTGTTGGTGGTGGTAGTATTGGTTGTGGTAGTGTTGGTGGTGGTAGTGTTGGTGGTGTTTTCTCACCGGGCTGGCGCTGATTGTAATGGCAGGGAAAACAAAACCACCGAGCCGGGAGCAGCAAGCGGAGGCCACGCCGAGGCGGCGGTGGTGGCGACGTGGGGTGCCACGGGGGGTGCTACGCGGGGTTACCACGTGGGGGGGGGGGGTGCCCTTTGTTATTTTTGGGGTGTTTCGCTTTTACATTTATTTATATTTCCCCCGGTTCACCGTCACGGTCTCGTGACACAAGGTGAGATAAATTGCCGGCGATGTGGGAACGCCGGGCCCGGCCTGCCACTCTCGCCGCTCCCCCGGCTTCAATAAACAGGAAACCTCCCTCCCTCCCTCCTTGGCTGAGCCGTGCCGCTACACCGTGGCGGCTCCCTGCTGGCGGCCCCTCATTACCCCGTGTGGCACGGCATGCGCCGCGCCTTTTAATTAACGGGGAAATTGCCCGCTCTTCGTGTGCCGGCGCCGACGCTACCTCTGAAGTGCGCGGAAATTTAATATCAATTTACGCCGCCGGTTCTTTCCGGGTGTTACGTTCCAATTAGGAGTTAATTTCCACGCCCGCTTCTTACGCGGGCGTGGAATTGGCACGCTCGCTCGCCACCGGTCGTGGTCGTTCGCTGCCTCTGCCCGCCCGGCGCGACGCGCGACGTGCCGGCGGCGCGGTGACACGCGGTCCTGCCGTGCCAACGCCGTGACTGCGTGGTGCCCGCGTGGTGACCGCGTGGTGACTCGTGGTGACTGCGTGGTGACTCGTGGTGACTCGTGGTGACTGCGTGGTGACTCGTGGTGCCCGCGTGGTGACCGCGTGGTGACTCGTGGTGACTGCGTGGTGACTCGTGGTGACTGCGTGGTGACTCGTGGTGACTGCGTGGTGACTGCGTGGTGACTCGTGGTGCCCGCGTGGTGACCGCGTGGTGACTCGTGGTGACTGCGTGGTGACTCGTGGTGACTCGTGGTGACTGCGTGGTGACTGCGTGGTGACTGCGTGGTGACTCGTGGTGACTGCGTGGTGCCCGCGGCCAATTCTTGGCACCGCCGCGGCCGAGCCGGGACAACTCGCTCAGCTCTCGGTGCCTTCGCCTTGCCTAGGCTGGTGCAAGGCTCAAGGCTTTCCTCTTCTCCTCTGCTTTCACTGACGGCCTCTCTCGCAGAGACTCACAAAGAAACCCGTAGACTCACACAGAGACCCATAGACTCACACATAAACCCGTAGACTCACACAGAGACCCATAGACTCACACAGAGTCTCATAGACTCACACAGAGACCCATAGATTCACACAGAGACCCACAGACTCACACAGAGACCGATAGACTCACACATAAACCCCTAGACTCATGCAGAGACCCATAGACTCACACAGAAACCCGTAGACTCGCGCAGAGACCCATAAACTCACACAGAAACCCGTAGACTCACACAGAGACCCATAGACTCACACAGAAACCCGTAGACTCACAGAGAAACCCATAGACTCACACAGAAACCCGTAGACTCACACAGAGACCGATCGACTCACACAGAAACCCATAGACTCACACAGAGACCCATAGACTCACATAGAGACCCATAGACTCACACAGAGACCCATAGACTCACACAGAAACCCGTAGGCTTACACAGAGACCCATAGACTCACACAGAATCCCGTAGACTTACACAGAGACCCATAGACTCACACAGAAACCCGTAGACTCACACAGAGACCGATAGACTCACACATAAACCCCTAGACTCATGCAGAGAGCCATAGACTCACACAGAAACCCGTAGACTCACACAGAAACCCGTAGACTCACGCAGAGACCCATAGACTCACACAGAAACCCATAGACTCACACAGAGACTGATCGACTCACACAGAAACCCGTAGACTCACACAGAGACCGATCGACTCACACAGAAACCTGTAGACTCACACAGAGACCCGTAGACTCACACAGAGACTCATGAACTTCACACAGAGACCCATAGACTCACACAGAAACCCATAGACTCACACAGAAACCCGTAGACTCACACAGAGACCCATAGACTCACACAGAAACCCGTAGACCCACACAGAGACCAATAGACTCACACAGAAACGCCTAGACTCACGCAGAGACCCGTAGACTCACAAAGAGACTCATGAACTTCACACAGAGACTTATAGACTCACACAGAAACCCGTAGACTCACACAGAGACTAATCGACTCACACGGAGACTGATAGACTCACACAGAAACCCGTAGACTCACGCAGAGACCCATAGACTCACACAGAAACCCATAGACTCACACAGAGACTGATCGACTCACACAGAAACCCGTAGACTCACACAGAGACCGATCGACTCACACAGAAACCTGTAGACTCACACAGAGACCCGTAGACTCACACAGAGACTCATGAACTTCACACAGAGACCCATAGACTCACACAGAGACCGATAGACTCACACAGAGACCCATAGACTCACACAGAAACCCGTAGACTCACACAGAGACCCATAGACTCACACAGAAACCCGTAGACCCACACAGAGACCAATAGACTCACACAGAAACGCCTAGACTCACGCAGAGACCCGTAGACTCACAAAGAGACTCATGAACTTCACACAGAGACTTATAGACTCACACAGAAACCCGTAGACTCACACAGAGACTAATCGACTCACACGGAGACTGATAGACTCACACAGAAACCCGTAGACTCACACAGAGACTGATCGACTCACTCAGAGACCCATAGACTCACACAGAAACCCGTAGACTCACACAGACCCATAGACTCACACAGAAACCTGTAGACTCACACAGAGACTTATAAGACTCACACAGAAACCCATAGACTCACACAGACACTGATAGACTCACACAGAGACCCATAGCAAGACGTATACTGGATGTGGCATGCCGTGCATAGGAATATTTTCCGCACCTGGTGAGGTGGCGCAGGGATCAGGGTGCTCGCCCGCCCGCTCACCGAGTCGCTCCGCCTACTCGCCCGCACGCCCTCCGGCTAAATCAGTTTCCCGCCCGATTGCCCGCTCGCCTGACCATTGATTGCGACCTCCGGTTCGGCGCTGGCTCCTCTGCGTCCCCACGCAGAGAGCATCATGAGGCACCCGGGCAGCCCGGACTCGCTACGCTCGCGCACACCCATGATCACTCCCGACCTGGAGAGTGGCACCAAGCTGTGGCACCTCGTGAAGAACCACGACCACGCCGACCAGAAGGAGGGCGACCGCGGCAACAAGATGGTGTCCGAGATCTACCTCACGCGGCTGCTCGCCACCAAGGTGAGGAGACGCACGCCGCCCCCCGCTCCCGCGGTCCCTCTCGCCTCGTCGCTCGCCAACGAGGTGGTCGGCCTCTATTGGCGGACCTCCGTGGGCCTCGCGGACCTCCGCGCTCCCAGACTCTCGACCTGCCGTCAGATGGCTCCGAGTCGAGGCGGCTGCAGAGTCCGTGTGACCGTCGTCACGATGCACGTGTTGGTCGGGACGGCGCGTCGCTCACGCTGGCGGTGTCGCCGTGTGCGGTGCCCGCGTTGCAGGGCACGCTGCAGAAGTTTGTGGACGACCTGTTCGAGACGATCTTCAGCACGGCGCACCGCGGCAGCGCCCTGCCCCTCGCCATCAAGTACATGTTCGACTTCCTGGACGAGCAGGCCGACCGGCACGCCATCCACGACCCAGCCGTACGCCACACCTGGAAGAGCAACTGGTGCGTCGTGCGTGCGTGCGTGTGTGTGTGTGCGTGTGTGTGTGCGTGTGTGTGTGCATGCAAGCGGGAGTGTACTGGTCAGCACGCTGCACTACGAACCTGGCGACCCGAGTTTAATTTCTGCTTAGGTCCAACACCAATGATGATTATTTGAACCGGTCCTAGGCCTCCCCTAGGTGGACTCAGCTGCAATCTGGTACCTGGTGGGATGAGTAAACATCGGCACTGGGGAGACAAAGGCGTACCGGCCAGCACTTGCCCCACCAGCTTATAAAATGCGTTGCTGTTGTACAAGCAACTCGTGGTCAGATTGGCTAAATGGGTTCACGTGGTCATCATGACAGACAATACTTAATTTCTCCTACTATCCCCCCCTCCTCCTCCTCATCTCCCCCTCCTCCTACTCTACCCGCCCACCCTCCTCTGCACAGCCTGCCGCTGCGCTTCTGGGTGAACGTGATCAAGAACCCGCAGTTCGTGTTCGACATCCACAAGACGAGCATCACGGACGCGTGCCTCTCCGTCGTGGCGCAGACCTTCATGGACTCGTGCTCCACCTCGGAGCACCGGCTGGGCAAGGACTCGCCCTCCAACAAGCTCCTCTACGCCAAGGACATCCCCAACTACAAGCACTGGGTGGAGAGGTGAGCGCCAGGGCGAGGGGATGGGAGAGCACGCGTGGAGCGCCATGCTACCAACCCGGCGACCCGAATTCGGTTTCCGCTCACGAACGATAATGGCGACAAATATTTGAACCGGTCCTGGGCATCCCCTAGGTCGACTCGGCCTTAAGTGAGTACCTGGTGTGATATGTAAACATCAGTAATGGGGAGATGCAGGCAGCCGGGCGTGATGCTGGCCACCCACCCCCTCGTGTGCCGTGGTCCACATTTGCCAAATTTTAACAAACGATGCTGCGGATGACTCTATTGGGATCGCGACCGCAGCAGCAGCGGCTGCCACCATCCCATGCTGGCTGAGCGGCCGCTGGCCCCGTTCCCTGCCCTAGCGAGCACAATGGACCCAACGGGTTCCTCTCCTTGATCACCTCGCTGACGTTTGCACGCGTGTCCTTGTGTTTGCGCGTGTGCGTCCACGGTGCGTGTGTGCACGTGTGTTTGTGTGCGCGTGCACGTGTGTGTCCACGGTGCGTGTGTGCACGTGTGCACGTGTTTCCATCTCTGCCGCAGGTACTACACGGACATCGGCAAGATGCCAGCGATCAGCGACCAGGACATGAACGCATACCTTGCCGAGCAGTCGCGCATGCACAGCAGCGACTTCAACACCATGAGTGCCCTTAACGAGCTCTACCTGTACGTCAGCAAGTACAAGGACGAGGTGGGGCTCGCCACGACGCCAACGCCGCACTCGAGCGCCTCTTCCTTCGCTGTTATGATGATGTTCGTTTCCCCAGGCAGGCCTCTAGGCTCTCGTTCAGGAGGGCCCTGCCAAGTGTTCGCAGTAAGGGGGTCGATGCTGCTGCTGCTGTGCGCTCCCGATTGGAAGAAACCCACTCAGAGCATGGGGAGAGCAAATACAGACTATCGGTGATCAGGCTGAGCACATCAACTCGCTCTGCTTGAGAACGCGGGTTACTCACGAGCAGCCTAGAATAGCAATGCCCGGCAATTGGATCATTCGTTATTGTCCCTTAGTGTACGTCCTCGATGGAGATGGAGCAATGTAATCAGCCCGTACGCAGAAGCTAGACGGATCTTTGCTTCGATCGATGGCTACGTCTTGGGGTGGCTCTTACCCAGCAGCGGATATATCACAGATGAATCGTAATGCGACAACGGATTAACGTAGCTCGGTTGCTCTCGGTCCCCCCCTGTACCCCCCGTACACAGATCCTGGCCGCACTGGACCAAGATGAGCAGGCCAAGCGGCACCGCCTGGCCTTCAAGCTGGACCAAGTGATCTCCTGCATGTCCGGGGACAGTTAGAGGTCACCGCACCGCCAGTGCCGCAACCACCACCACCACCGCCGCCGCCATCGTCGCCACCGCCGCCGTCATCGGCCGGGTGAAGTGTTGCTTATTTTAGTTCCTTATTTTTCCTCCATTTTTTTTTTAAACACCGCCGTCCGTCTGTCCGTCCAACCATCCGACTGACCGACCGAGAAGACGCGTGACGGTTTTGTGTTGCCGCACTCGGGCGACCGGACGTCCCGCTTTGCGACACGCCCGGCCACGCGGTTCCACGGTGGTCCGCGATGGAGCGCGGCGAAGCGCGGGGAAGCGACCGTCCACGCGCACCCGCGGGTCGGCCTCCCCGCTTCACTTTCCGGAGGAGCGGCTCCACCCGGGAGTCGACCCCGTGACCTCTACGCGGCATGGGGAAAAGGCCGTTCAGACCCCTGGGAGGGACGCGGGGAGGCGCGGTGACCTCTTCGCCCTGCGGGGGAGACTGACGGGAGAGCAGGAGAAGGCCCGGGGAGATCCGGGGGAGACCTGGCAAGGGGCTGAGAGTCGGCGTTAGTTGGAGAGATCGACCAGAGAAGCGGCCTGCTCTGCATCGCTCCGACACTGCTGCTCCCGCCGAGCCGGAGGAGGAGTGCAGCCTCGCGGCCCCCCTCCCACCACATGGACGGCGTTCTTCCATCCCGCCGCTTCCATCGTGCACACTCGACACCGACACGGAGCGCTCCGCTCGTGTCTTGCTTCGTCGCGTTTTCGCTGGATCTTCCGAATGTTCGTTAACCCCTTGTCACGCCCCCCGCGGAAGAGCCGACGAGTGACTTATGGGCGCCTGAACGCGGGCACCACTGACCGAGACTTGGTGAACCGTGGGTGTCGTTATCGCGCCCCCCTCCCCAAACTCGCCCCTCCCCCCCCAGCATGTCTTGCACAAAGCATCGATGCTGCGAACGATGATGCGCACGCGACCCATTTGACGGAGCCGAAGATTGTTTGAACGGCTCGAGAGAAACGCAACGGCTTCGGATCTTCGCTGGGGTCGTTTTGTAATTTTATTTTTTAGAAAAATATCCCCCTTTTACGGAGGGGAAGAAAATGAGACAAAACGCACGCACGCACATGCACGCACGCACGCACACACGCGCGTCAAAATTTCGGCCTCGCGTTCGCGTAGCGTCCGTCTGCAGGGGCGTCTCCGTGCTCCCCGGCGCTCCGGGCTCCGGGCCGTCTTGACCGCCAGTATTGAAGCGTCGCGTCTCCTTCTCCTGTTTACTCGAAACGACAAACTGTGGTTGTACAGCACAAAAAAGGAAGGGGCGAGCGAGACGGAGCGCCGCCCGTCCCCGTGGTCGCGCCCTCTTGGTGTTCGAGCGACCCCCACGCAGCGGCGAGCTTTTACCGCACCCAGTCGGTCCGTCGGCTACAAGTAAGGTCAAGGGTGGGGTGGGGGAGACAGGAATCCGCTAAGAATTTTGTTTTGGGTCTTTTCAACAAACGAAGTGAAAGCAGGAGTTTTACGATGCTGCTGTGTGCTCAACTCGCTCAGTCATATGTCCAGTGTCGCTCCAGTCTCTCGAACATTATATGGCTGCTGCTACTGCTGTAGCTGTAGCAGCTGTAGCTGCTGTAGCTGCTACTGCTGTAGCTGCTACAGCTGCTGCTCCTGCTGCTGTAGCTGCTGCTGTGGCTGCTGCTGCTGTAGCTGCTGCTGCTGTATAGCTGCTGTTGTAGCTGTAGCTACTGCTGTAGCTGCTGTAGCTGCTGATGCTGTAGCTGCTACTGCTGTAGCTGCTGCTGTAGCTGCTGTAGCTGCTGCTGTAGCTGCTACAGCTGCTGCTCCTGCTGCTGTAGCTGCTGCTGTAGCTGCTGCTGTGGCTGCTGCTGCTGTAGCTGCTGCTGCTGCTGTTATAGCTGCTGTTGTAGCTGTAGCTACTGCTGTAGCTGCTGTAGCTGCTGCTGCTGTAGCTGCTACTGCTGTAGCTGCTGCTGTAGCTGCTGCTGTGGCTGCTGCTGCTGTAGCTGCTGCTGCTGTTATAGCTGCTGTTGTAGCTGTAGCTACTGCTGTAGCTGCTGTAGCTGCTACTGCTGTAGCTGCTACTGCTGTAGCTGCTGATGCTGTAGCTGCTGCTGTAGCTGCTGATGCTGTAGCTGCTACTGCTGTAGCTGCTACTGCTGTAGCTGCTGATGCTGTAGCTGCTACTGCTGTAGCTGCTACTGTGGCTGCTGCTGTGGCTGCTGCTGATCTGGGGCTGGCGTGCGTCAGAAAGTGTCCACGCCGGCTGGTGTAGACCGAGCGAGCGAGTGAGGCTGCACGAGGAGCTCCGGATGACCGCGCTGGTTGAGAGTTCGGTCGCTCTCTGTGCCGCCGCCGTGACCCGAGCGTGGCGTCGCCCGTTCGCCGCTTGGCAGTGTTACTGGAGCACGGGTTTATGCTTTACACGCGCACGCGCACACGTGTACACGCACACACACGTGTACACGCACACACGCGTACACACACACACGTGTACACGCACACACACGTGTACACGCACACACACATGCGCACACGCACACACGTGTACACGCACACACGTGTACACGCACACACACACGTGTACACGCACACACACACACGTGTACACGCACACACACGCGCACACACGTGTATACGCGCACACGCGCACACGTGTACACGCACACGTGTACACGCACACACACGCACACACGTGTACACGCACACACATGCACACACATGCCCACACACGTGTACACGCACACACGCACACACACGTGTACACGCACACACACGCACACACACGTGTATACGCACACACACGCACACACACGTGTACACGCACACACACGTGTACACACACGTGTACACACACGTGTACATGCACACACACGTGTACACGCACACACACGAGTACACGCACACACACGCACACACACGTGTACACGCACACATACGCACACACACGTGTACACGCACACACACGCACACACACACACGTGTACACGCACACACACGCACACACACGTGTACACGCGTGTCATTGTGGCAGTGCCAGAAGACTCCACTGTGTTGGGTGATCCTATGGACCTCAGCTGCCTTGGGGGGGGGGGGGGGGTGATGCTCGGTGTATGAATGATGATGACGACGACGACGATGATGGTGATATCGATTAATATTATGATTATTGCTCTGTTGTTATTATTGTTGTTGATGTTGTTGTTGCGATGTCGAGCCGCCTGCGTATAAAGTCGCACCCTCCTCCCCGTCCTGCTCCTCCGCGCTCCACGTCTCTTGTCGCGGTCGTGCGTGCTCCCTCGTGCGTGCTTCTGTCGAAGGAACCAACTCGCGTCCCCCGCCACCCCCCGGCCTCTGCCCCCCATCCTTGGGTCGCGAAGCGCCTGACCCCAGCTTGGTGACCCGCCAACAACTCCCACCGCCCGGCACGGCCGCGTCGATGGACCGAGAGAGGCGAGGAGCGACGCGGCTCGGCCGGCTTCAGGAAGGGCCCCCCCCCGCCCTGCCAAAAACAAATAACGGCCCCCCTATCCCCTTCCCTCGGAGCGCATTTGGGCGATGGGGGTGAATTCATCGACGATCCGGATTCACCAAAGGTCCGCGCGCCGCTCCCCTGCCCGCGGGGCGACCTCCAGACTCTCGCGCCAGGCGTGGGGAGCGACGAGCGGACGTCGACCGTTACGAGAGTGAGAGAGTGAGAGAGTGAGAGAGAGAGTGAGAGAGAGAGTGAGAGTGAGAGAGTGAGAGAGTGAGAGAGTGAGAGAGTGAGAGAGTGAGAGAGTGAGAGAGGGAGAGAGTGAGAGAGTGAGAGAGTGAGAGAACGAGAGTGAGAGAGTGAGAGAGAGAGAGTGAGTGAGTGAGAGAGGTGGAGAGAGAGTGAGTGAGTGAGAGGAGTGAGAGGAGTGAGAGAGTGAGAGAGTGAGAGAGAGAGAGTGAGAGAGTGAGAGAGTGAGAGAGTGAGAGAGTGAGAGAGTGAGAGAGAGTGAGAGAGTGAGAGAGTGAGAGAGTGAGAGAGTGAGAGAGTGAGAGAGAGAGAGTGAGTGAGTGAGAGAGTGAGAGAGAGAGTGAGTGAGTGAGAGAGTGAGAGAGAGAGTGAGAGAGAGAGTGAGAGAGAGAGAGTGAGAGAGTGAGAGAGTGAGAGAGTGAGAGGAGTGAGAGAGTGAGAGAGTGGAGAGAGTGAGAGAGTGAGAGAGTGAGAGAACGAGAGTGAGAGAGTGAGAGAGAGAGAGTGAGTGAGTGAGAGAGTGAGAGAGAGAGTGAGTGAGTGAGAGAGTGAGAGAGTGAGAGAGTGAGAGAGTGAGAGAACGAGGAGAACGAGAGTGAGAGAGTGAGAGAGTGAGAGAGTGAGAGAACGAGAGTGAGAGTGAGAGAGAGAGTGAGAGAGAGAGCGAGAGAGTGAGAGAGTGAGAGAACGAGAGAACGAGAGTGAGAGAGTGAGAGAGTGAGAGAGTGAGAGAGAGAGCGAGAGTGAGAGAGAGAGTGAGAGAGTAGAGAGAACGAGAGAACGAGAGTGAGAGAGTGAGAGAGTGAGAGAGTTAGAGAGCGAGAGTGAGAGAGTGAGAGAGAGTGATACTTTGACTTTTAAACAACTTTTATTGCTGCCAGCAGCAACAGCACTGGAGGCGATTTCGATATGAAATACACAGTCACAGCAAACAAATAAAATAAACGCTTCAAATCCACGCGTTGTGGCGCTAAAAGCACCGCACACAACACAAAGAAAAGTCACGTGGGGTTTTGGTGGTCATCGCGCACGCCACGATGACGAGCGAGCGCTTCAGAAGGTGAACACGAGGGTGCCGTCCATACTGGTACAGAGGGCTTGTCCGACTCCCAGCGTTCGAGGAAGACGTGCACATCACCGACATGTGTGTGGTATGGCGTGCTCCAGCCAGAGCCGCGCTTGAGCAGGCCCCTGAACACTGGCAGCACAGAGCAGCCGTCAGTGTCACCTTCCAGCATCTTTTTCTCGTTCTGTACACCACCAACTTCGCCTGAGCACAGGCGAAGTTGGCGAGGTCATGGCGCTTGTTAGCCAGGTAAGGCACCACCCCATATACGAAGCTGCTGTTCTAAAAGGGCATCCCCAGCTTCCTGAAGATGTCCCCCAAAAGGCGGAACATTGCTTTGAGAGAGAGTGCGCGCAAAGACAAACTTGACGTCGGCAGTAATTTATTTTGCTGTGAAGTTACGCCGCGTGAGGAGCGTTGGGGTTCTTGTGCGTGACAAGGCATCACGGTGGCGGAGAGGTTTAATGTCGGTGCGTGTACATACCATTTGTAATAAATCACACATCCAATGTGTGTGCGGCGCGGTGTGCTTGACGCGATTCCGACCCTCGCGCCCCCACAATGGGAGTGTAGCGATGTGATGATTGCGGGGTAACGCTCGCCACGCGTGTGCGTGCGCGCGCGAGTAGGGGAGCGGTGGCGCAGCGGTCAGCGCTGCGCTGCCAACACGGCGACCCACAGAGTTCGATTCCCGCTCACGACCACGAGCTGTGGCGAATATCTGCGCCAGTCCTGGGCCTTCCCTGGGTCGACTCGGCCTTAAATGAATAACTGCCGTGGTGTGGTCCATCATCACGAGAGGAAGTCTCCGGACGTGTTTCTGGCCACATCACCCCCGAGTGCGTCTTCATGGGTGCTCGCGAACAGCACTTGCCCCAACAGGCTGTGAAAGGCTACACGGGGGATCTGTGTATGTATATAATCATAGACTGGTAAACCCTGAGCGAGCCCCCCTCTCTCTGCTGTTTATCGGGGTCACACTGCACAGGAGGGAAATGCCTTTGTCCGCAGATGATGATGATGATGATGATGGAGATATATTTGTCATTTGCAGACTCTGCCATGTATCGGTGCGTTCCTCGCTCCACGCCACTCGCCCTCGCGTTGTGTCACGAGATGGGTTTTTTTCTTCCAATTAGATGCTCCGCTCATTAAAATCTTCCACTGCGATTAATTAGAATAATAATTGACGATTATGAATATTAATTTCCGAGGCCCCAGGGGGATCGCGAGCACGCTGTTCGCCACGAGGCGTGCACGATGGATTATTGTCTCATCCACGGCGCTTTAACAACAATTGTAACATTAGTATTATTACACTGTGTACAATAGTTTTTTGTTCCTGGGTAGTAAGTGTTATTTCCTAATTGCATATGCCTCAAAAGTACAGAAATGGCTATTGTTCCCCACAAACTTGCTTTTGTGACCAGACAGTGATCTTTAGATATTTACCTATTTCCCAGAACATTCCAGATAGATTCAAGTGCTGAGTAAACTTGGAGATACTTCTAGAACATTCTAGAGCTTCCAATAATATAAATAGTAGTATAAATGCAAGAGCCTTAAGCCCATTAGTTCAGTTTGGTTCCAGCTGCCTAAGTGGATACATATCTGCATTTTTCTGAGATGGTATCAAGAGGCAGCAAGCCGGCAGACGCCATTTGCTATTTCTGCGGCCAATTTATGAAGACAAGAGCGAAAAAGTACTTTGTGGAAGTATCTGCTGAGATGTGTGAGGCCTACAAGGCATATTTCAGCATGCCTGTCCGGGGATCAAGACAAACCCTGGGCACCTCATTTCACCTGCGAGCAATGCAACAACTCTGGAAGGTAAGATGGACAATTGTTGCTCGGAATTTTATGTTATAAAAATTTGTAAAAAAAAAAAAATTCTAAAAGTTCTTTTTTTTATATTTTAAATTG